AGCTCACCAGAAACAATTGCAGCACGGGAATTTAACATGACACTAGGAGGGTTGCTATCTTCATCCTCTTCAAAACTCTCAACTCCACCCATGGTGGCAATAAGTGAGTCAATAACAAGGAAAGCAGTGGCCTCTGACTCTTCTCCAGCACCAAAATTCTCAATACCGCTGACAACATTCTTTAGCTTATCTAAGCTTTCAGGTTTCCCCATGATGGCTGAATCCACAAGATGCAGTAGCTCTGGAGAAACATTTGGAACTGTAGCCTTTGGCTTGGGTTTCTGCGGGGAATGAACTGGGGAATACCCAGATTCTAGATGGTGGAGAGAATCCGGACTAGGTTCAGACAGGGACTGCTGCAGAGAATCAGGTGTTTCTTTCTCTGGTCCAGCGCTAGAAAGTCGGTCACTTTGCACATCATCGATGGGCATCAAATCATACATCTCCTGAGTCCCGGATAAGTGATAAGTAAGTCCTTCGGTGGCACCAAACGAGGACCTCCCAATATCAGAGTTTGAAGTGCTTCCAGGTTCCATAAGGTCACCCTGTGATTCATTCACAGCTTTCTCCTGATCTCCCAGAGACACTTGTTCAAAATCATCATCCTTGAAGACCCTATCAGCTGAACTGATCCCTTGCAAAGCTGTATCATCCTTAGCAATAAAACTAGAATCCCCTATATCAAATGCCTCTATCCTACTCTGCAAAGGATTAGCTATATCAGGCTTATCAGTAACATCAGCTTCTGGGAGCTTTCTTTCATCATCTTCTTCCATTATATCAACTTGTAAAAGAGTACACTCATTCACACCGTTATCTTAGCCTCCACCTGTTAAACATCGAATTAAGTAAAAAAAAAAGATTAGCTTGTGAGACAAATGCATCGACACTGATGGAGATGAGAAGTAAAGTTGAGAACAAGGCACTGTGATTGAACCAAAAAGCATCCATTTATGATACACTCACTTGGATCTACTAAAAGTTACATATACAGCATAAAACAAAAACGAAAATCCGTGCAAATCACAGAAATATCTGCTCAAGGCACAACAAAGATCCAATTAGAAGATCTCTGTAGATCTTAGAGAGGATCAGTTTTTAAGATTTTGAAATTCGTCTAGAAAAAAAAAATACGTTCCACGAGTATCCTCGACAACTGTGAAAGGATTAAAATAGTGCTTATAGAAATCAATGGCGAAAGAGTATACGCACGGATCGGACCGGAGAGATGTACGGATATGATGAACAAAAATGAATCGGAGGAAGCAGTCCAGCAAATCTGGACAGATTCTCTATCAATGAAAGCTTGGTAGACGGAGAATGCGGAAGATTCAGAGGACGACGAAAGTAAAGAGAGGTGGAGACGACGATCGGAGAAAGAGTAGTGAAGGGAGGCGACTTGGGCGCGCGGGAGAGAGAGAAAGAGAAAGAGAAAGAGAAGAGATTGTGGTTTTTTACTGATTTTGGGATTTTAGCAACTTCGATCCAACACATAAAAAGTCAATTAACACTGAAGTTTTCATTTAAGTATTTTGCTATCCATGTTAATTGTTAACTAACACTAATTTTTATTTCTTTTTACTAGTTTGTGATATACATGTGATACTTTTCTTTCTTTGGGTCTCAAAGTAATTACTTGCTAAATCTACCTTTTAAAGTCTTGAATCAAGTAATTCTAGGGATGGAAAATACAAACATTTATTATTTTTTAACATAAAACTTCAATCATAAAATTTGTTTTGGTGGAAACCATTGCCCCATTGGTGTGGTGGTTACACTTTCACCAAACAGCAAATCCTCTATTTCTCTTTTTTACATAACCCCCTTTCAACCCAGCTTGGCAGCTCACTTATATACAGTTTTACAGTAATTTTTGGGCTTTGGATCGATGTAAGAGAGAAGAAAAAAAAATGTATTAAAAATCATTTATGGGTCTTGTATTAATTTATGATATAACATAGGCCCAATAGCAAAAAAATGGATACCTTGACTTCTTCAACCCCCTAGTCCCTAGAAATCTGCAAACTAGAACAACCGAGAAGAAGGGTCCCGAGAAGAAACGACATCGTGAGATTATCTTCTTGTATATTTTAAAATCATAAGATCATTAGTTTATAGATAGTACAACTTTTAAACAAACAGACGAAAGCATTCCAATGGCTAACAGCTAGTACTGCGTTTCTTGACGGGAAAGGCATGTAACGGTTTAGTCTTATGTAATGTGATACCAAAGGTTTCGTCCATGTCCAAGTCCTCGGACACAACGCCGTTTGTAAGCTTCCAGTCAAAGGAATAAAGAAGCGAAGCAAGCATAAGAGACACGATCTTCACAGCCAAAGGCAATCCTGGACATATTCTACGTCCGGCCCCGAACGGTGTAAGCTCATAATCTTTGCCTTTCACGTCAATCTCTTTCCCTAAAAACCTCTCCGGCTCAAACCGTGTCGTATTCTCCCACACATTCGGGTCTCGTCCTATGGCCCAAACGTTCACCAAAACCTGAGCATCTTTAGGCACCATGAATCCAAGAATCTCCACATCCGCTTCTGCTTCCCGCGGCAGGAGAAGGGGAACAGCCGGGTGCAAACGTAAAGTTTCTTTTACAATCGCTTGTAAATAAGGCAATTCTGAGATATCTGTCTCTTCAACGACACCGTTTTGGCCGACCACACTGTCTATCTCGGCCTGGGCTTTGGCCATTGTCTTAGGGCTTTTAAGTAACTCTGCCATTGCCCACTCTACGGTGGTAGAGGTTGTGTCCGTGCCTGCTGCAAACATATCCTGACATATATAAATCACATATCAGTGAAGGAGGCATTTAAAAAAGCGATATAGAAAACAATTCATGCAATTTCAAACTTTAATAAACAGAACTTCTTCTTCTTTTTTGATAAACAGAACAGATATATATACAGTAAACCTGTAAAAGCATTGAAGTTGTTATTATATGTTCACATCATACTTTTGACGTGTCTGTCTTAAGATATTACGGTTTATGACATCACAAAACTAGTGGATTCAATGCTGGTAGGACTTACCAAGAGAAGGTGTTCAATATCGTTATTGTCGATTTCAGGTTCATCTCCTTGAGTGAGGGCAAGAAGCGAATCCAAGAAATCCATGTTCGAAACATCTGTAGATTCATTCCGCAATGCTGTTTTCGCATCCATGAATTCACGGAAAACCCTAAACAACTTCTCTGTGGAAGCCTTCATAGTCTTTCTATTACTTTGCAGGTCAAGGAAACCCAAACATGGAAAAAAGTTAGCAGCGTCAGGTTTCCCGGAAGCTTCCATGCCAGCAATCACCGTTTCCTGGAACCCATTGGAATTTTTGCAATCGTAGCTACCGATATCGACGGAAAACAAAACGTTCGATATGATATTAAGAGCTGTGGTGAAAGATATACGAGAAATTCCAACTGCTTCTCCTCTCTCGCTGCTTTCACTCACGAAGTTCACAAGCTCTTGCACCTTCTTCATTCGCAGAGCTTTGGTTGCTTCGATACGTTGCGGGGAGAACAAGAGACTCGCAGACAGTTTTCTCAACAACCTGACGAAACATAACAACAACTAAATGATTCCTTCTTATGTCTTTGTTGTGCTTTTTTAATCTTTTTACATTTAATGTTTAAACACTGATCAAGACTGTGGTAGTAGAAACAATCATTTGAAAATTGTAAAGGCAAACTCAAGGGAAAAGATATATACATGCAGGTATGCGTTTATATCTTAATTTCATCAAATAATACTCCAGTGAACACCAATACAACTAGAGACGACATCGTCTAACTTATGATTATTGTTTATATCACTAGTAAATATTAGTAATTTTTGTGTTGTTTTTAAAAAGTATATAAATCTATAGATTAGCTGTTGAAGAATATGTTTTTTTTTTTCTTTTTGGCATTTGAAACAGTCGAATCACTATTCTCTAATAATTAATAGCAAGTAAAAAATAATAAGAAAACAATAGTACCATAGCAGAAAAAAAAAAAGTTAGGTACAAATTATACCTCCAACGAGCCGAGGACGGAGGAAGCCAGGCTACAGAAGCCTCGTGGTGATTGATGGACCGTATAGAGTTAGTTGATTTACGGCCAGACAAGATTTGGTCGTGTGTTTTTAGTACTTCTCTTGCAGCTTCTGGTGAACCTATGACCACTGAGTTTAAACATCCAAGCTTAAGACTCATGATTGGCCCATAAGTTTTAGAGAGTTCGGCGAATGAGCGGTGCGGGTTTCGACCAACTTGGTGAATGTTTCCGATTATCGGCAATCGTGGAGGTCCAGGAGGTAGCCTAGCAGCTTGGTAGGAGCTTCGGCGGAATCTTGCGGTTGTGAAGATGAGGAAACATGATGAGAGAAAGCAAAAGACCAAGAACATAATTATTTCCATTTGTGATTTCATTCCCTAATGATACAAAACAACACAAAAATATTTATAATGTGTAGGTCCAAAATCCACCGAGTGATTGAGATCCCACTTGTTACAAAAATAGATCGGCGATGTTTTTTACAAGGACCTACAGCGTTACAAAAGTCAAGGAATGATTTTTCAATTAATGCATACGCAACAAATGGCCTTCGCATTTGGTTGGCCACACGAATTTAAATTTTTTCGGCTTTATAATTTCATAACTTTTTATACTGTAATTTCATAAACAGTATTTGTTGGGTGATTAAACTTTACAATCGTTAAAAAAAAAAGGTTTTACATGTGCTGATAAGCTAGATTTGTATCCCAATGACTTAAGAAATTATAGCATTATGTTAATTTTGTTTATGAAAAAGGCATTAATATACTGTTTATGAAAAATTAGTCTAATATGTATTTCTTTGGACCCAAAAAATTATAACAGTCAGCAAAAACCCCCTTTAAAAATAAATTTGAAATAGTACTTTGAATTTCTTAAGCTATTCAAAGACAAATTTAAATAACCCAAATCCAACAGAACAAAAGTTTCTTAAATTTTTTGCCAGCCGAGCAAACCAATTCAAGGCAAGCTTTATAAAGTTAAAACTGAAAGGGAAACAGTTCACGATAAATCAAACATTTTGTTTGGCGTATTATTTTAAACGCTTTGGAGAATCATAGAATGATAGAAACATACAAAAACTAGTCCCGGATAAGTGATGAGTAGATGGTTGAGAACTCTTTTAAGCAAACAGAAGAAAGTATTTTACAATCACAAAATAATGGCGCGTTTCTTGACGGGAATGGCATGTAACGTGTTGGTCTTGTGTAATGTGATACCAAAGGTCTCCTCCATATCCAAATCCTCAGACACGACACCGTTCGGAAGCTTCCAATCAAAGGAATAAAGAAGAGAAGCAAGCATGAGAGCCACGATCTTCACAGCCAAAGGCAATCCTGGACATATTCTACGTCCGGCCCCGAACGGTGTAAGCTCACAATCCTTACCTTTCACGTCGATCTCTTTCCCTAAAAACCTCTCCGGCTCGAACCTAGTCGGATTTTCCCACACATTCGGGTCTCGTCCTATGGCCCAAACGTTCACCAAAACCTGAGCATCTTTAGGCACCGTGAATCCAAGAATCTCCACATCCCCTTCTGCTTCCCGCGGCAGGAGAAGGGGAACAGCCGGGTGCAAACGTAAAGTTTCTTTTACAACCGCTTGTAAATAGGGCATTTCTGAGATATCTGTCTCTTTAACGACACCGTTTTGGCCGACCACACTGTCTATCTCGGCCTGAGCTTTCGCCATCCTTTTAGGGTTTTTAAGTAACTCTGCCATTGCCCACTCTACCGTACTAGAGGTTGTATCCGTGCCTGCTGCAAACATATCCTGACATATATAAATTACATATCAGTGAAGGTGGCATTTAAGAAAGCGATATAGAAAACAATTCATACAATTTCATCTCAGAACTTCCTTCAATAAACAGAACTTCCTCTTCTTTTTTAACAAACAAAAACAGATATATATACACATGTAAAAGCATTAATTGAACATATTTCACATCATACTTTTGACGTTTCCGTCTTAAGATATTAGGTGGATTCAATGCTGGTAGGACTTACCAAGAGAAGGTGTTCAATATCGTTACTGTCGATTTCAGATTCATCTCCTTGGGTGAGGGCAAGAAGCGAATCCAAGAAATCTATGTTCGAAACATCTGTAGATTCATTCCGCAATGCTATTTTCGCATCCATAAATCCACGGAAAACCCTAAACAACCTCTCTGTGCAATGCTTCATAGACTTCCTATTACCTTGCAAATCAAGAAACCCCAGAAATGGAAAGTAGTCAGCAGCGTCTGGTTTCCCGGCAGCTTCCATGGTACCAATCACCGTGTCCTGAAATTCATTGGATGTTTTCGAGTCGTAGCTACCAAAATCGACAGAAAACAAAATGTTCGATATGATGTTAAGAACAGTGATGAAAGATACACGAGAAATATCAACTGCTTCTTCTCTCTCGCTGCTTTCACTCACGAAGTTCACAAGCTCTTGCATTTTCTTCATTCGCAGAGCTTTGGTGGCTTCGATACGTTGCGGGGAGAACATGAGACTTGCAGATAATTTTCTCAACAACCTGACGAAACATAACAACAATGTTTTTTTCTTTTTGTGCACCAAACATAACTATAATTTATTATCTCTTTTTAGATATTTGTTGCGCTTTCTTTTTTAATATTCAATGTTTAAACATACAAATTTGTGGTAGTACAAAAAATTATTGGAGGTTGGACATAAAAAAAAAATTGTAAAGCCGAACTCAAGGGAAAAAAATAGGTCTGCGTTTATAATATTCATCAAGCAATACTCCAGTGAACCTATACAACCAGAGATACAAGTCTAACTTATGGTTATTGTTTATATCACGAGTAAATATTAATTATTGTGTCCTTTAAAAATAATATATATATATATATATATATGGATTAGCGGTTGAAGAATATATATATATTTTGCATTTGAAATAACCGAATCTCTAATAATTAATAGCAAAGAAGATAAATGAGAAAATAATAGGACCATAGAAGAAAAATACGTTAGGTACAAATTATACCTCCAACGAGCCGAGGACGGAGGAAGCCAGGCTACAGAAGCCTCGTGGTGATTGATGGACCGTATAGAGTTAGTTGATTTACGGCCAGACAAGATTTGGTCGTGTGTTTTTAGTACTTCTCTTGCAGCTTCTGGTGAACCTATGACTACTGAGTTTAAACATCCAAGCTTAAGACTCATGATTGGCCCATAAGTTTTAGAGAGGTCAGCGAGTGAGCGGTGAGGGTTTTGACCGATTTGGTGAATGTTTCCGATTATCGGCAGTCGTGGAGGTCCAGGAGGTAGGGTGGCGGCTTGGCAAGAGCTCCGTCGGAATCTTGCGGTGGTGAAGATAAGGAAACATGACGAGAGAAAGCAAAAGAGCAAGAACATAATTATTTTCTCCAATGATAATAGAAAACAGCACACAATTACTTATTTTTAGTTAACTTCATACTACTATATATAATGTATAGGTCCAAAATCCACCCACTCGTGGACCAAGTTATGAACCCGACTTGTCATAAAATAGATACACGATGTTTTTTCAAGGACCCTACAGCGTTACAAAAGTCAAGGAATGATTTTTTAATTGATAATAAATTACACAAAAAATGGCCAGTCTGATAAGCTAGATTTGTATCCAAATGATTGAGAAATTGAAGCATTATGTTAAGTTTGATAATAAAGAAAGAATTCCGTAAAAGGGGAGAGTTGGGAAGATGCCGAGTTCGATCACTAAAGATAGGAAAAATGACTAAATTAATCTGATATTATGAACTTAATTAAGTCTAACATGTATTTCTTTGGACCCGAAAACATTCCAACAGTCGGATATCGTTTTACATATATTTTAGCCGAGCTACTTGAACCATACGGAATCGCACAGCAAAAACCCCATTTTTATTGAAATAGTTTGATAGTATAACAAAATACTTTGAAATTCTTTAACTATTCAAATAGAAATTTGACTAACCCAAACCCAACGGAACAAAGTTTTAATTTGGTTTAAACCAAGCAAAAAAAAAAAAAAAAAAAAAAAAACTGAATAATTCAAGTTGAAACTCATATGGAAACCGTTCTTGATAAATCAAACATTTTGCTTGGCATACCAGAGTAGTCCCAAATAAGTGATAAGTAGATCGTTTTGAGAACTTTTAAGCAAACAAGAGAAAGTATTAAACCACATTTATTGGTAAGCTTTTTAACTAACTCTTAGAATATTATATAAACATAAATTAAGAGTCAAATGTTGATTTTAGTAAGAAAGTTTCTTAGTTAAAAACCAAGAGTTTGCCAATAAACATGCTCTTTTACTATCACTAAAGAAATTATTAAAATATACTATTATAGCATGATTAATTAATGGCGCGTTTTCTTGACGGGAATGGCATGTAACGGTTTGGTCTTATGTAATGTGATACCAAAGGTCTCGTCCATGTCCACGGAAACGACGCCGTTCGGAAGCTTCCATTCAAAGGAATAAAGAAGAGAAGCGAGCATGAGAGACACGGTCTTCACAGCCAGAGGCAATCCCGGACATATTCTACGTCCGGCCCCAAACGGTGTTAGCTCATAATCTTTACCTTTCACGTCAATCTCTTTCCCTAAAAACCTCTCTGGCTCGAACCGGGTCGGATTCTCCCACACACTCGGGTCTCTTCCTATGGCCCATACGTTCACCAAAACTTGAGTATCTTTACGCACCATAAACCCAAGAACCTCCACATCGGATTCTGCTTTTCTCGGGATAAGAAACGGAGCACCCGGATGTAACCGGAATGTTTCCTTCACAACTGCTTGTAAATACGGCAGTTCTGCGATATCTGACTCTTCAACGATACCGTTTTGGCCTATCACACGATCGATCTCGGCCTGAGCTTTCACCATCGTTTTAGGGTTTCTTAGTAACTCTGCCATTGCCCATTCTACGGTACTTGAGCTTGTGTCCGTGCCTGCTGTAAACATATCCTGACCACATATATAAATGATATATCAATGATAAAATCACATCTCAGTGATATCTACATATAATATTCATGCGATGCCATATCATAACAGTTTAGTAGAATGTGCCGTAGTAAAAGTTGTTCTTTTTAATTTAAAACAAATTAAATTGTAAAAGTATTAATTTAAAATGTCTTTCTATATATCTATAATCGAAACATTTTTCTTCCACATGCATACTCATCTATCATTTGTTAGAATATTAAAACATCCCAATCAATTGTCAAAAACTGATTATTCTATTATTTGATAAGCGTGATTATCTGCAGTAAGGTAAGACTTACCAAGACAAAGTGTTCAATATCGCTAATTTTGAGTTCTGCTTCATCTCCTTTGTAATCCAGAAGGTTGTCTACGAAATCGTTCTTCGAAATATCTCTGGGGTTACTCTGAGATGATTTTTCCGCAATCTTAGCATCAATGAACCCACGGAAAACCCCAAACAACCTCTCTGTGCAAACTTTCATAGTCTTCTTATTACCTTGCAGATCAAGAAACCTCAGCAATGGAAAGTAATTAGCAGCGTCTGGTTTCCCTACAGCCTCCATAAGACTAATCACCGTGTCTTGAACCCCGTTAATGGAATCTTTCGCGTTGTAGCTACCAAGATCGACGGAAAACAGAATGTTCGATATGATATTGAGAGTTGTGATGAAGGATGCACGAGAAATATCAACAAATTCTTCTCTATCGCTGCTTTCATTTATGAAGCCCACAAGGTCCTTCACCTTGTTCACCCTCATGCCTTTCGTGGCTTCGAGACGCTGTGGTGAGAAAAGCTGAGTAACCGACAATCTTCTAAACAGCCTAAAACAAAACATGGCAACGAACCATTAAGAAACAACACGTTTTAGGGTCTTTTATGGCCTTTTAACCCAAAAAAAAATCTCTTATTGCAAATCTTGTAAGACGTTGTAAGAAACAAAATCGTATGAAAATATAAAGTCGATATTAGAATTGTACCTCCAACGAGCCGACGACGCAGGAAGCCAGACAAGGGAAGCATCTTGGTGATTGATGGACCGTATAGCGTTAGTGGGGCTACGGCCAGACAAAATCTGGTCATGTGTTCGTAAAACCTCTCTCGCAGCTTCTGGTGAAGCTATAACCACTGTATTTAAACTTCCAAGCTTAAGACTAATGACTGGTCCATAAGTTTTTGAGAGGTCGGCGAATGAGCGATGTGGATGTTTTCCGACGAGGTGAATATTTCCGATGATCGGTAAACGCGGAGGTCCTGGAGGCAGCTCGGTGGCTCCGCGAGAGTTCTGTCGAGATCCTGCGGTGGTGAAGATAAGAAAACATGATAAGATAAAGCAAAAGAGGAGGAGAAGAGCTTGTCCTGAGATTATGTCCATCTGTGTATTTCACATATATCAAAAAAAAATATTATTATCACATATTATATATTTGTAGTAGACAAATAATTTTTTTTACTATCTTTTTCGTTTGGGACTAGCCAGAAGCCACGGATGCTATAATGCCAAGGTGCATGTAATAACAATGCAACACATAATGCATTAATCGGTTCCGTAGGTGGGCGCTACCTTGCCAGAAGAAGTCAAACCAATATGTATAATTTTTTATTTTTTATTTTTTTGCTACGAACAATATGTAGATATTTGTTTTGTATACAACAAAATATCAAAATCTAAGCAACTAGCTAGAATTCCTTTAGCCGTCAATAATTTTGGTTTTTCATTTGATAAGATTTATTAATCAAACAAAAAATTTGAAAAAATGAATAATCCATACAAAAGTAAACCCATTAGACAAAATATCCAATAGTTTTGTCAACTGAACTATTACATCAAAAAGTCTTTAATTTCCTCTTAATGATTCAGCCAAACTTTTTCTTTCTTTGATTTACTGTTTGTTACTATTACAGTTTAAAGTCTAAACGCCTCAAAAAGACAGAAACAGAGTCTTTAAATTATTTGTATTCGAATCATAAGATTATTGATTATTCCTATGGTTTGTGAAACCATTACATTCAAACATAATAAAACATTATTAATTTATACTTATAGCGCGTTTCATGAGAGGCACGGCATGTAACGGAATGGTCTTGTGCAATGTGAGACCAAAGGTCTCGTCCATGTCCAAATCCTCTGAATTGACGCTGTTAGGAAGCTTCCAGTCAAATGAATAGAGAAGAGAAGCAAGCATGAGAGGCACTGTTTTCACAGCCAAAGGCATTCCCGGACAAAGTCTACGTCCGGACCCAAACGGTGTTAGCTCATAATCTTTACCTTTCACGTCCATATCCTTACCCAAAAACCTCTCTGGTTCGAAACTGTTCGGGTTCTCCCATGCATTCGGGTCTCTTCCTATGGCCCATGCGTTCACAAGAACCTGAGTGTTTTTAGGCACAAGGAAACCAAGGACATCCACGTCTGCTTCCGCTTTCCGTGGGAGAAGAAGTGGAGCAGCAGGGTGTAATCGGAAAGTTTCTTTAACGACCGCTTGCAAATACGGCAATTCTGAAATATCAGACTCTTGAATGACACCGTTTTCGCCTATCACATGATTGATCTCGTCTTGAACTTTTGTCATCGTTTTTGGGGTTCGAAGTAATTCCGCCAGTGCCCATTCCACGGTACTAGAGGTTGTATCCGTGCCCGCTGCGAACAGATCCTGACACATACAAGCACATATTATATATCCGTGAACTGATATAATATTATTAGCATGTTAATGCTATAAGCTACGGCTTACGAGAAGTAGGTGTTCGATCTCGTTATTGTTGATCTCAGGTTGTTCTCTTTCGTGGAGATCGATGAGTGCATCTACGAAGTCGCTGCTTGAAACATCTTTCTCGCCTGTCCGTGATGAATTTTCCACAATCCGAGCATTGTAAAGCTCTCGAAATACCTGAAACAACCTCTCTGAGTAGTCTTTCATCTTCTTACTATTACCTTGCAGGTCAAGAAACCTCATTATTGGGAAGAAGTTAGCAAAGTCTGGGTTTCCGAGAGCTTCCATGACACCAGTCATCAACTCTTGAAACACATTTGAATTTTTCGAGTCGTAGCTACCGAGATTAACTGAAAACAAAATGTTTGATACGATATTGAGAGCTGTGACGAAGGATGCACGAGAAATATCAACAGCTTCCTCTCTTTCACTGCATTCACTAATGAAGTTGACAAGTTCTTGCGCCCTCTTCATCCTCAATGCTTTGGTGGCCTCGATACGTTGTGGTGAAAATAACTGAGTCGCAGATAGTTTCCTCAACATCCTGAAAAACATTACATACATAGAAACGATGATTCTGAGAACTCAAGCGCTATTAGCTCAAACCACTTTAAATTAAAAAAAAATTCCAGAGCTATCGGATTTTACTATTTGTGGACCTACTACAAGTATTATATATGAATTTGGATCTCCAAAGATCATCATGTTTACAGATCAATAAAAAGAGACATCATAGAAGAAAACAAATCAAATTCAGTTACCTCCAACGAGTAGACGTTGGATGAAGCCAGGCCACGGAGAAGTCATGATGATTATTGGATTGAACCGCTGCATTTAAGTACCGGGCAGACAAGATTTGATCATGTGTTCTTAGTACTTCTCTTGCAGCGTCCCGTGAAGATATGACCACTGAATTTAAAAATCCAAGCTTAAGACTCATGACCGGTCCATACATTTTTGAGAGATCTGCGAATGAGCGATGTGGGTTCTTTCCGATAAGATGGACGTTTCCGATGATGGGTAACCGTGGAGGTCCCGGAGGCACCGCGGATACTTGAGGAGGACTGCGTCCGGATTTTGAAGTGATGAAGATAAGAAAACATGGTAAGATAAAGCAAAAGAGGAGAATCATATCAGCTTGTCCAGAGGTGATGTCCATTTGTATTTCTAAAGTGATAAGGCACTATACAAAACTGACTAAAACATGGTATGGATATATATAAGGATGATTGAAGTCGACAAAAAAAAAAGGATATTTTTTTTTTATGGGCTCTTATTCTCGTCGGTGGACCACGAATAAATTACAAGATTCAATTGCGACTAAAAATCCGGTCCCAATAGATTACGTAATCGTATACGTTTTGGACAAAAAAAAAATTGATTTGGTGTACATATTCGTATCCCTTTTTAGGCTTTAGACACGAAAAATACACCATACGACTAGATAATTTAACATAAATCAAACTTTAGGTCACACACAAGGTTTTTTACTTTTCAGATTGAACGAGCGTAAATAAAGTGGTTGGTCTAATGTTTAGGATAACGCCGTAATTATCTTCTTATCTCTCATTTCCTTAAAGATAATAATTAATGTTCCCATTAGATACGCACCGACAGACATTATCAACTACCCGTTGTGTCATATTCAGACGATCTCGTCTTCTTGGAATTATTGGGAAAAAAAAAAACTAATTACAAATTTCAACAAAATTCATGTCCCTTTACTCGAAATCTCATGCACGGCTCATTGCCTCATTGTTAATTATTTTCTTCCTTTTGATTATAACTGCAACTGGTTTCCACACGTTTTTTTCTTCTTCTTATTGGAACCCGTTGGTTAGAGAAACCTAAACCCTAAAGGATATTTCTGATTTAATATGAAGATTTTGGTCAAAGATTTAGCTAGTTTCAATCGCAAGAAAACTAAAGATTGTGACTCAGAAAAAGTAAAAAAAATCCCCTTCTCATCCTGTTACGTCTTCGCTTCTCTACGTACAAAAAAATAAAATGAATTGCAAATATATCCAATAGGCTGATTAATACAACAACGTTATTTTCTTCCTCTTTCCATAAAGTCTTCCAAAATTGATTGACAAGTTCTTGACCTTCCTCTCAAAATTGCTGATTCTATTTCTCTCATTGCGGTGGTCTTCTTCCTTTTCGCTTCCTTTGTTCTGATAAGTAAGCCTCTTGCTTCAATGAATCATTTGATTGATTACCCAATTTGTTTCAACATATATCTTAATGTCTACGTTGATGATTCTTCACACATGAACTTGCTTATCTCATGTTGTAGATTTGTAGTTGAGAATTGTTTTTCTGGTTGAGTATCTTGTGATGGTTAATCAAATTTTTGTTACTTTCTGTTGGAACTAGGCCACGCTTGTTTCGGCATCATGTCGTATTATCGTTACACGGATATGAAATTGCAGTTTTGCTTCAAGAAAAAGAAAAAAAATTAAATATCAGTTTTGGCCACTCCATATTATTATTATAATCAACTGCTCTATTAGGGTCGGTTGGAAGTCAAGCGCCTTATCCATTAGAGTTATTGTTTATAATAAAAACTTGTTTATGAAACTAATTAACAGGGAAATAATTTAAATCAGGTAAATAATTATTTGGTCTGTGAAACTTTATTCGTACTTCCAAAATAAAATCATAGAGTCAAAATGTCTAATTGATGGGGCGTTTCTTGACGGGAATGGCATGTAACGGATTGGTTTTATGCAATGTGAGACCAAAGCTCTCGTCCATGTCCAAACCCTCAGAAGCGACGCCGTCTGGAAGCTTCCAGTCAAAGGAATAGAGAAGAGAAGCAAGCATAAGAGGCACTGTTCTCACAGCCAAAGGCAATCCCGGGCAAATTCTCCTTCCGGCTCCGAATGGTGTGAGCTCATAATCTTTACCCCTCACGTCCGTTTCTTTCCCCAAAAACCTCTCTGGCTCAAACCGGGTCGGATTCTCCCACACGCTCGGGTCTCGTCCAATGGCCCAAACGTTCACCAAAACCTGAGTGTCTTTAGCTACGAGGAATCCAAGAACCTCCACATCGGATTCCGCTTTTCGTGGGACGAGAAGTGGAACAGCCGGATGTAACCGGAAAGTTTCCTTCACAACCGCTTGTAAATAGGGCAGTTCCGAGATATCAGATTCTTCAACAACACCTTTTTCACCAATTACACTCTCGATCTCAGACTGAGCTTTTGCCATTGTTTCAGGGTTTCTAAGTAACTCTGCCATTGCCCATTCCACAGTACTAGAGTTTGTGTCTGTGCCCGCTCCAAACAGGTCCTAAATACATTAAAGTCTATGGTTGTGTCTGATTCATTTTACATATTAATAACAAAATGATAAGACTTACCAAGAGAAAGTGTTCAATATCGTTAGTGTTGAGCTCTGCTTCATCTCCTTCTGTAAGATCGAGAAGCGTATCCAAGAAATCTCTGTCAGTGACATCTTTAGGGTTCTTTTGCAATGATTTTTCCTCTGTTTTCGCGTTGATGATCCCGCGGAAAACTTTAAACAACCTCTCCGTGCATGCCTTCATAGTCTTCTTATTACCTTGCAGATCAAGAAACCCCAGAAATGGAAAGTAGTTAGAAGCGTCTGGATTCCCGACCGATTCCATTACACCAATCACAGTGTCCTGAAACCCATTGGATTCGTTCGAGTTGTAGCTACAGAGATCGACAGAAAACAGAATGTTCGACATGATATTGAGAGCTGTGATGAAGGTTGCACGAGAAATATCAACAGCTTTTTCTCTCTCGCTGCTTTCACTTATGTAGCTAACAAGCTCCTTCACCTTGTTCACCCTCAATGTTTTCGTGCCTTCGATACGCTGAGGGGAGAAGAGCTGAGTTGCCGATAGTTTCCTCAATAGTCTAAACGAAACAAAACATAAACATCATCACATATTAGTCAACATTAGCAACGATAATGTGGATATATATAGTTGACTTGTGGAATTGAATCACGGAATTAATTTTTAGTGTACAAATTTGACTAAGAAACAGTAGAACAAGTTACCCAAGAAAAAGCGAAATGATATTCGTTTTCCTTATTTTGGTCATTGAATAACATACATAATATAAGGTTTGAAAAAAAAAAAAAATCACTGAGATGGAGAACTCATATAAAATACAAATGCAGAAAATTATATAATTTAGAGCTAGGGAAATCTTGGAACCATGTTGACACTTTCTCCGTATTAAAATAATTCTTGGATTGATTACTAATCAGAACATTCATGAATAATTGAAACAATAAAAAAAAGATATACTAGATATTAATTAGGACCGGTTTAAAGTTGACAATATTATACCTCCAACGAGACGACGAAGGTGGAAGCCAGACAACGGAAACCTCATGGTGATTAATGGACAGTATCGAGTTAGGGGGGCAACGGATAGAGAAGATTTGGTCGTGTGTTCTTAGAACCTCTCTTGCAGCTTCTGGTGAAGTCACGACCACCGTGTTTAAACTTCCAAATTTAAGGCTCATGATTGGTCCATATGTTTTTGAGAGGTCGGCGAATGAATGGTGCGGGTTTTTACCGACAAGGTGAATGTTTCCGATCATGGGCAGCCGAGGAGGTCCTGGAGGCGGTGGAGCGACCTTGCGAGAGCTCCGGGATCTTGCTGTTGTGAAGATAAGGAAACATGATAAGATAAAACAAAAGAGGAGAAACAGAGCTTCTCCGGAGATAATCTCCATCATTTATTTCGCAAGTAATATTTTTTTGAAGATTCGTGAATTTTCTAAGCTTCAAAAGCCATATATATACTTGAAAATATTAATGTAAAAATCAAATATTTCAAAAAGATTGATTACTGTCCAAATACATCTTACCGATTATAAGGGTCAAAGAATTGACACCAGTAGGCGCCCCGTCGCCACTTGTCACTTAAAGCCAACCAATGAAGTTGAAATTAAAAGACTGCAGACCAATCACAAGAGACACGTACCCGTGAATGAGTTCAAACATGTCCATATCTCTAATCGAAAATGTTTTTTCCGTTCTACCTAGGCAACTTAATCTCGGAGACGTACATTAACTCCATTTCTAATCCCACTACGTTTCCTCTCTTGATCATTTCACTGATTTAGTTTTTGATTTCTAGTTTTCCAAGAAGCTCCATGTAAACTTATGTATTTATTGTAACTACCCATTTAGTCTATTATTTCAGCAGTTGATTAAAAGTTTCATGATTGTACATCGAATTGGTCCATAAATGATCAAGAGTTGACGATATTATCTAGAAAAAAAAAAAAAACAATATATTGTAATGTTTGTGTTTTTTTTTTTTGAGAATGTGTTTCCAAACATACGCCATGCGCCTGATATACATTGGGAACCGTTGGTTCCAATCTAAGCGATTGATAGGGGAGTTAGCTCCACAAGGAATCTACAAATAACAATTATTGGTGCATTTTTTAAATATGAAAATCAGATAGTCGTAGTTTTCTTGATGGGTACGGCACAAAGAGGTTTGGCCTTGTGTAAGGTAAGACCGAAGGCCTCGGTCATGTCCATGCTTTCAGGGACGACACCGTTTTGAAGCTTCCAGTCAAAGGAATAGAGAAGAGAGGCAAGCACCATATACATTGTCCTAAGAGACATCGAGATTCCCGGACACATCCTTCGTCCTGATCCAAATGGTATCAGCTCAAAGTCTTTACCTTTTACATCGGTTTCTCGTAATAAGAACCTCTCTGGCTCAAACTTCATTGGATTTTCCCACACATTCGAGTCACGTCCTATTGCCCATACGTTCACCAAAACCTGACTGTCCTCAGGAATAAAGAAACCCAAAATTTGAACATCGGATTCTGATTTTCTAGGGATCAAAGCTGCTGGAGGATGCAAGCGAAGAGTCTCTTTCACAATTGCTTGTAAGTAAGGCAGACTCGGGATATCAGATTCTTGAACCACACCATTTTCACCAATCACTTGCCGTATCTCACTCTGAGCTTTGACCATCTTCTCCGGGCTTCGTAATAACTCCGTCATCGCCCACTCCATTGTACTAGAGTTTGTATCTGTGCCCGCAACAAACACATCCTGTCACAAAACATATATTAATTGATGATACTGCATTCCAAATAAGCAATTATATCTTAATCTTGCCATGGATGTTAGTGGAAGACTTACGAGAAGCAAGTGTTTAATATCATTTATGCTTAATTCCGCTTCGTTTTGCTGTGTGTGATCCAGAAGGGAGTCTAGCATATCTATACTCGAAGCCTCTTTATGCTCTGTCTCTGTCTGAGACAATCTTTTGGCCAACCGAGCATCGATGAATTCTTGGATAACCTTAAACAATCTTTCGATGCAGACCACCGCTTCTTTTCGAGTACCTTGCAAATCAAGAAACCTCATATACTGAAAATAGTCTCCTACGTTGGGTTTACCGGAGATCTTCATCAGGTGAACCACCGTCTCGTGGAATTCGTAAGAAGAAGAATTCGAGCCATAGCTCGCCAAATCTACGGAAAACAGAGCATTTGAGATGTTATTGAAAGATGTGACGAAGGAAGCACGAGCCAAGTCAATGGCTTCTCCTCTCTCGCAAAATTGGTTTACTAAGCTCACTAGTTCCTCCACCTTCCTCGTCCTTAAGGATTGAATAACGTCTAGGTTTTGTGGTGATAACAAATATTTCGATATTGTTTTCTTCAGAAACCTGCATATGCATAAAATACAGAACGTCAACAGAGTTTGTGGTGAATCAGGTCTGGTTTATAAATTAAAACTTTGAAGTACTGCTAAATTCGAATAACGATTCATTTTTCTCGATTTAACAGTTGCTTTCAAACCACAAAGAGATAAATATAAGCGAAAGATTGATCTTAGATATAGAGTTATAGTACCTCCAACGAGGCGAAGGAGGAATCCAGACAATAGAATGTTTATGGTGATCAAAAGCTCGAATCGGGTCGTTAAAGGTTCGAGCGGACATGACATGATCGTGTGTTCTAAGTGCCTCTTTAGCTGCTTCTGGTGAAGATATAACCACTGCGGTTAGCCTTCCAAGCTTCAAACTCATTATAGGTCCATAGGTTTTTGAAAAGGCAGCGAGTGAACGGTGAGGATTGCATCCGAGTTGGAATATGTTTCCGACCAAGGGTAATGTCTGAGGACCCGGCGGAAGTAGTCTGCCCTGGCTAGATCCCCTCCGCGATTTTGAGGTGGCAAATAAGAAAAAGAAGAGTGTTAACAGAAAATAGAGGGGAAGAGACATGCCTTGAACTAGTAAGAGGTTCATCGGACGATCGACCGTTTGATTCTACTCCTCTAGTCTAAGGAAACTGGAGAGTGCGTAGGAAATATATACAACTCAAGCATGGACTTTATATTCATCAATTTAAGATTCATTAATGAATTTTCTCAGCAACTTCAAGGATATTATTAGTATCTAATATGGAGAAGCAAGTTCGCATGCAAAACTGTCAATCGGTATTAGTTGCCTAGTGTATATGTTTACAATTAAAACTGACCTAAATTGCTGGCAAACATGGCAAATGGTTTGGTACAAGTTAATTATTAACTTAAAAAAAAAAAAAAAAAAATTTATTAACTTTGAAAGCTTAAATCAAGAGAACATAACATTTAATGTAGTGTATTGTATTGTATAAGCGTTGTTGATTTTTGTCATTATTCGGATTCAAAACATGCAAAAAGTATATGATTCAAAAATTATAATGACACATGCATGAGAGACTTAATTAGACAGTAGCAAAAAAAAAAAAAGCGTGCCAAAAATGTATGCAGCCATTGCTATATAATACGGCGGAGATGATTGTTCATCTGTTGAACCCATACGTACATTAAGTATCGCATTAACTAGTATTTGGCAGATTAACCATGTATTTTAGGTGTACGTTACTCTCTTCTATCTACTGTTAGCTGTATATGCTTGTTTTGATGTTAGGTTAAGCTGATGCTCAATCTGGTTTCTGCCCCCTTTTTATGTGTAGATCTCTTGAAATTTGTCGTTAATCAATGTGTAAGACAACTCCAACTTTACCTTCTTAATTGTAAAAAACATGTGGCAGAATCTGAAATTAACCTACTGGTTTGCTTTATCTGCGGTTATGCTTTGTTTTTAACAAATAATAATATCTTCAACGTATAATAAACAAATAGAAGTATAGGACATTTATAGTAGTAATCTTTTATTGTTGTTGTTAGGGCAACATTATTGGGGGTATCTTACAGAGCTAAGATACCCCGGTTTTTGTAAAGAAAAATCTTATATAAGATACTTTCTATGCAAAAACCGGGATATCTTAGCCCTCTAAGATACCCCCAATAATGTTGGTCTTAATGTAACGGTGGTGGAAAGTTGGGGACCACGGTCACGGGACCCGACAAGCGTTTGGTTATAACGTTCGGTCTAGTAAACAGTAATGTTTAATGATTGTGAATTAATTTCTAGTTTTTGTTTAGGAGTGGAACTCACATGGGCATTTTCACTACTCATCACTTCTTCTTCTTCTTCGTCTTCTCCAATCTCCTTGTTTTTGTTTCTTAAGAAAAAACATGAAAAAGTACATCTGAATCTGCTTTTTATAACCTGCAAAAAGGCCTTTTGTATATATATTTGTCGCTTATCTCTCTTTTTCTTGTTTTTATGAATCTCCATATATAGATTCCCTTTTCAAGTTTCCAACGATGTTACCAAAGTCAAACCCTCTAAAAACAAGTGCAGCTTTACCTATTCCTAATTAAAATAAAATAAAGAGTTGTAAAAACAAACAAATCACCCACTGATATCAATCAAGTGGGTTTAGTTGCGATTGTTTATCATTTCAATAGCTATCTCATTAGTAAGAGGATTAGCTTTGACCTCCTTTTCTTCCCCGTAAAAATAAAAGAGATGGTGCCAGCGATGTTTGAACTCTAGTGAAGTGATCCCACGATGTTTTTTTTTTGTTTTGTACCCCCCAACGAGCGTTACACACTACTCGTGCGTGAATTTTGGGTCCAAAACCTTAAAAGTTGGGTAAAAGTAAATAAAAAAAAAGAAAAAAAAAAGAAACCAAACAAAACAAAACCACCGAACACATACGAAAATAAAAAAAAGGGCAAAAGATGAAAAGGTCAAAATCCAATCACCCCCAAAAAGGCGACCTCAATAATGCCTCCTGCCCTCCTTTCCCTGACGCCACCAACACGATACAATATGATTATTATTATTATTATTTATTATTTGGCTAGTAAACAGAAATTAAAATGATATACTACTAACGCTTGTTTATGACAAAAATGAACAAATCTTATCTGAATTCTCCAGTTGTTTAACCAATGGTCTCGCTTAGGCTTTTAGCTAATCAAATTTGATTTAACCGGGTTATTATCACCGCACAGCTCCAAACCAATAAAAAAACTAAACTCACATGACGCACGCGCGTGTACTATACCAACCACGCTTCTTTTAGGCGAGTGAGGTTGACTTCACCATCGCTTCCCCAATTAAATTTCGTGGGTTCCACAGTGGACCTCTTCACAAGGTTTGGTTCCCTAAGAAAAATAAAAAACCAGAAATATCTCTCGTGAATCTCTCAACTCAACTCGCCGCGTGATACTCACGCTCCCTCGTTAAAAATCTCACACACGACTCGGTGAACTGAACTACAATATCTCCACCGGTCTCCGCTAAACGACGTAACTAATAATATCCCGCTCACATGACTGTCACATTTTACAGTCACCATCCCCCATTTATTCTCCGACACGTCACTATTAACCCGATACTGTCAGTCACACAACCACCTCTCTCTCTCTCTCTCTATTATCTTCACTTAATTTATACTACATCATAAATAATTAAGTCATTTTTCCCAAATTTACCTATTTACGTAGCTGAAGAACATTTAAAAACTATTTTAACATTTAGTATATATATATATATTTATATTTTCTTTTGTCAGTTTGAAAAACTTATCATCATTTTAACATTTAGTATATATATATATTTATATTTTCTTTTGTCAGTTTGAAAAACTTATCATCATCTCACCTTCTTCAATGGAGGAAAGGAAACTCCCGATTAAATGAGAGACTTCCTTTAACTTTCTATTTATTTACTAAAATGCCATCTCGTCACTCTCCACCGGATATTCCGCCGTTACCACCGACTACGAACGCTCATCACCGTTTCCAGACTCTTCCACTCATCATCGCCGGTTCTCTTACCTTAACCGGGCTTTTGCTCATCCTCTTCACTCTGCTTCTCTACCGGAGACTCTACAAAAACCGTACGGCTCCTTCAGATCTTCTCTCCAACTCCAAGTCCCCTCAGCACTACCAATGTCGCCGCTTCTCTTACTCTCAGCTCCGCCGCGCTACCAACTCTTTCTCTCACTCGACTCACCTCGGCCACGGTGGATTCGGCTCTGTTTACAAAGCTGATTTCCCTAGTGGCGGCGGCGATTCCCTCGCCGTCAAAGTCATGGATACATCCGCTGGTTCTTTACAAGGCGAGCGTGAGTTTCACAACGAGCTTTCTCTCTCTTCTCACTTTATCGGCTCTCCTCATATCGTCTCTCTCCTCGGATTCTCCTCCGATCGTCGTGGCCGGAGGCTTATCCTCGTCTACGAGCTCATGGCTAATCGTAGTCTACAAGACGCGCTTTTGGATCGCAAATGTGAGGAGCTTATGGATTGGAACAAAAGGTTCGAGATTGCGACGGATATTGCCAAAGGGATCGAGTTTCTTCATCACTCTTGTGATCCAATCATCATCCATGGAGATATCAAACCTAGTAATATCCTTCTCGATTCTGATTTCAAAGCCAAGATTGGAGATTTCGGTCTTGCGAGACTGAAGTCCGAGGATTTAGATACTAGGATTCTGATTGAGGAAGATGAGAAGAGAAAGGATCTTGTTGAAGATAATGGGTCGATTCGGGAAGAGACTGAAAGCGTGATTACTGTGTTTGAAGATGGTAATAATGTTCTCAATCTCTCGCCGGAGAATTGTGGGATCAGCGTCTTGACGGAGACGGCGGTGTCTCCAGGGGAGAAGTCCAGACTTTCGCCAGAGAATTCTGCAGTTAGTGTTTTGACGGTGGAGGTGGGCGCAGCATCTCCCGGGATGACATCGATACCGTCGCCGGAAACTTGTGCCATTAGCGTCTTGACGGATACTGGCGTGTCACCGGGAGCGGCATCGGGATTATCGCCGGGGAGTAGTAAGCTTAAAGTGGGTTCGAAGAGAGATTGGTGGTGGAAACAGGAAACCAATGGTGGAAGCAGAGGGACTGAATCAGGGAGTGTGAAAGATTACGTGATGGAATGGATTGGGAGTGAGATTAAGAAAGAGAGACCTAATAACAATAAGGAATGGATTAACAACGGCGATGGGTCATCATCAGCAGCAGTCTCTAAGAAGAAGAAGAAAGACAAGAAGAGAAAGCCTAGAGAGTGGTGGAAGGAAGAGTTTTGTGAAGAGCTAACTAGAAAGAAGAGGAAGAAGAAGAAGAAGATGAAAAGAGGGCTAAGCTCAATCTCAAGCATTGACTCTTGGTTTCATAGAGACGACGATGCTTCCTCTGTTCATGACCAGAATCTTAATCCTACCAAGAAGAAGAAGAGAAATAGTATAGATTGGTGGGTAGATGGGTTAAGCGGCGAGCTAAAATCAGTCAAAGGCAGAAAAAACAGTCAAGATTCTGGTTTGTGGTGTGATGTGAATGTTCAGAAGAGCGGTGGAGTCAGTAGCACACCGAGTATGAGAGGTACGGTGTGTTACATTGCACCAGAATGCGGCGGTGGAGGTGTGTTGTCTGAGAAATGTGATGTCTATAGCTTTGGGGTTCTGCTTTTGGTTCTTGTCTCAGGGAGACGTCCATTGCAAGTGACTGCATCGCCTATGTCGGAATTTGAGAGGGCTAATTTGATATCATGGGCTAAGCAATTGGCTTGCAATGGTAAAATGTTGGATTTAGTTGATAAATCTATACATTCTTTGGAGAAAGAACAAGCGGTTCTATGTATAACTATTGCACTACTGTGTCTGCAAAGATCTCCGGTTAAGAGGCCAACGATGAAGGACATTGTAGAGATGCTTTCGGGTGCGTCTGAGCCTCCGCATTTGCCGTTTGAGTTTTCTCCCTCACCGCCTATGGGTTTCCCGTTTAAGTCAAGGAAGAAAGCACGGTGAAATTGGGGTTTGGTTTTGAGCTCAGTCATCAAAGTGTAGATTTGTCCCGTTCGAAACTCTAAACCAGTTGCGAGTTGTAGGGACTGTTTGAGTCGATAAGATTAGTTTTTTTTTTTGCATATATTTATGAAATTGCTTAACATTTTTAGTTTAGACAATAAAGAATTCTTAATTGACATCAAGAAGTTGATCATGATTATAGTTCAATTCCCTTTTCTTTTGCTGAATTCTATGCAAAGACAAATTGGGACCAGGTTCAAAAATGTTTGCCATCCCTGTCTCCCACTGTATGATAAATGGGTATGGAGCAAATTTACTCTCCTTTTCTTTGTATTATCACTTTCTAGTGCTCTCACAATTTATATGGTATTGGCACTTTAACATTTAAAGGTTCTGACTTTAGGAGACAGAACATGGGTGTGCAAATGTTCTCAAGGTTCAAATTCATCAAAATGCATCCATCTTTATAAAAAACTAGTAACGTTTACATAATATTCAACCAAAGACAATCAACCCTTAGATATGCCAAAGCGGTCAAGTGCCTATGAATTGGCCGGCCTGACAAGTAATTGTTCATAGTGACAAAAACAAAACAATACACTTGAACTATGTTATGTAGTCTACTACGCTCTAAAGTCTATTACATGGGACAAAATCACAATATGCATTAATTTTGGATATGGGAAAAAGGAGTTACTATATTTTGTTAAGGCACATTAACTTCTTGGTCGATTATTAAGGTACATAATACATTAGCCGTTATATTAGGTTTTCTGTAACAACTGGTGATAGTACTTACAATAGACAGAGAGATATTTGCAGCAAAAATTCGCACGATTCTTTAGGCAAATCCAACTACAACTTTGAATGACTTTAATGTAAAACGTTGATCTTTTCAACCTAATCAGATCCTTGATTCCCCAATTCTTCTTCATAATCACACATTTTTTCAACACAAAAGAAAAAAACATATTATCACTCTGTATCTCTGAAGCATCCATGGAAGCTCCTCCACCTTCAAGCGATCCATACAAGTTCCTCAACATTACACTCAACTCAGATGGATCACTCACCAGACACCGTGATTTCCCCAAATTGCCCCCAACGGAGCAATCCAAAGACGTCCCACTAAACCAAACCAACAATACCTTCATCCGAATCTTCAAGCCCCGGAATATTCCGCCGGATTCCAAGCTCCCCATACTCGTCTATTTCCACGGCGGCGGATTTATCCTCTACAGCGCCGCCTCCGCTCCGTTCCATGAATCTTGCACCAAAATGGCTGATCGTCTTCAAACCATTATCCTCTCCGTTGAATACCGTTTATCACCTGAACACCGTCTCCCGGCGGCGTACGAAGATGCCGTCGAAGCGATCTTATGGCTCCGTGATCAAGCTCGTGGCGCAACCAACGGTGGTGATTGCGACACGTGGTTAAAAGACGGTGTAGATTTCTCGAAATGCTTCGTGATGGGTTCGAGCTCCGGAGGAAATGTTGTCTACAACGTGGCGTTGCGTGTAGTGGATACAGATCTCTCTCCTGTTAAGATCCAAGGGCTGATAATGAACCAAGCTTTCTTCGGCGGTGTTGAGCCGTCGGATTCTGAGTTACGGCTTAAGGACGATAAGATCTGTCCGTTACCAGCGACTCATCTGCTGTGGTCTCTTTGTTTACCCGACGGTGTAGATCGTGACCACGTGTACAGCAACCCGATTAAGAGCAGTGGGCCTCAGGAAAAGGATAAGATGGGACGTTTCCCGTCGACTCTCATTAACGGCTACGGCGGGGATCCGTTAGTGGATCGTCAGAGACACGTAGCGGATATGTTGAAGGCACGTGGTGTGCACGTGGAAACGAGGTTTGATGAAGATGGGTTTCATGCTTGTGAGTTGTTTGATGCGAGCAAAGCCAAGGCCTTATACGAAACCGTTGAGGCCTTTATCAAGAAGAGTTGTTCATCAACCGGTCCATCGGCCAACATGTAGTAGTCCGATCTAATTGTTTTATTCGATGTTTTCAACTCGAGTATAAGTGAGTGAAGTGCTTGAATATTTCAGTATATGATGTGTGGGGAAATTGCAAAAATGTACTGCATGTTGCTTTCCAAATATGTATACCTGAGAAAATAATAATACCGTATTTTACGCTAAAAAAGATTCAGACTTTCGGGTGCCGATTTCACTTAGAATCATCCATCGGCAGGTGGATCACGTTTAAACAACATTTCATATTATGATTTTGTTTTGGATATTGCATTAAAAACAATGTTAGATGTTGCAATTTATGTAGCTATAAACTGTACAGAAATTAGATTTGTCAAAAAAAAAAAAAAATCTGCTAAGAGTTTTGTCACATTTTTTTTTAGATTTGTCAAATATTGATGGTACATTTGAATCATTTATTTTATGTTCACATTGAATTGCTAACGATTCCATCTAATTAAGTTTGAAGGGATGTTACTCATTCAAATACACAAAGCAAATGTAGAACATTGATTCCTCATTTAGACCAAATTCAAAACAATTTTTGATTTTGGTCAATACTGCGTAAAAGCATGACCACAAACAATCCGCCCATTCATCCGAATCACAAATTAAGCTCCATTAAACATAAAACACATAAAAAAAGAAGATTAGGAACAAAAAAAAGTTTCACACATATCTTCTTAATCAAAGTTTACCCTTAGACCTGTTCTGAATCACGCAATTAAAAACACTCGAACAATGTCACGTGACTCTCGTCCCGCGTTTGACCCATACAAACACCTCAACATCACAATTAACCCCAACGGCTCTTGCACCCGCCACTTCGTTTGGCCGATGGTTAATCCCGACCCAGATCCATCCCCCGGCAAGATCGCCGCCACCAAAGACGTCACCATTAACCAGGAAACCGGTGTTTCCGTACGTATTTTCCGACCAACCAATCTCCCATCCAACGATAACGCCGTCGCTCGTCTCCCAATCATCCTCCATCTCCACGGCTCCGGCTGGATCCTTTACCCGGCCAATTCAGCCGCGAATAACCGTTGTTGCTCTCAGATGGCCAATGAGTTAACGGTGATCATCGTCTCCGTGCACTACCGTTTAGCTCCTGAACATAGACTCCCAGCTCAATACAACGACGCATTGGATGCTCTTCTTTGGGTCAAACAACAAGCCGTTGACTCAGCCAACGGCGAGCCTTGGCTTAGAGACTACGCCGATTTCTCGCGGTGTTACATCTGCGGTTCGAGTAACGGCGCTAACATCGCTTTCCAGTTGGCCCTCAAGTCACTAGACCACGACTTAACGCCGTTGAAAATCGACGGCTGCGTGTTCTACCAACCGCTCTTTGGCGGTAAAACGAGGACGAAATCGGAGCTCAAGAACTTCGCCGATCCGGTAATGCCGGTGCCGGCGTTTGACGCCATGTGGGAACTATCCTTGCCGGTGGGTGTTGATCGCGATCATAGGTACTGCAATCCGATTGGCTATTTGCCGCAAAAGGAGAAAATTGGACGGCTTGGACGGTGTCTGGTGATCGGTTACGGCGGAGACACGTCGTTGGATCGGCAACAAGATTTCTTGAATCTGTTGGTTACGGCTGGAGTTAGGGTTGAAGCAAGGTTTGACGACGCCGGTTTCCATGGCATTGAGCTAGTCGATCCACGGAGAGCCGTTGCTCTTCTTAATATGATCAGAGATTTTATCAACTAACGATTCTTCTTTTCAAGTTTTCATCTAACCATTTTTTTTTTCTTTATACATATACATATAACAATTACAGGAACATGGTTACACTTATTTTTTTGTATTGGTTCGACTTATACTATCAATTGTAACACGTCAAACATTAGCTTAATTTAATGTATTAATTAATGCAATATAACAAAAAAGATCGAAAATTTCATGGTTTCAAAAAAAAAATCAACCAATCGCACAAATTACATGGAATCATAATATCATTGTTCACACTCATTCAATATTTTACATAAATAGAAAAGAATATGATCAGCTAAAATAAATAAATATCCAACATCGGACGGTCAAGATATTATATTATGTGTGAGGAGGCTGTATCCTATTTCTTTCTATATATATATATTAAAAAAAAACACACAAGAACGAGATCCGTTAAACCTTGAAGGGAGAGGGAGATCTGGGGTGTGGGTCATTCAACATTGAAAGGTCTTCGACTTGCCGAAGTGTTTCAGTTTCGCTCTAAAACTTTCTCTCCTTCTCCATGGCGGACGGTGGGGCTGCCTCTCCAGCTCCACCTTCGGAAAACGTCGGGGATTTTATTTTGTCACTTTTGCAACAGAACACCAGACCTTCTCCGTCACAACAAGGTGGTCCTCCTCAGCATCTCGATCCGGCCATTGCAGCCGTTGGTCCAACCGTGAATCCCTTTCCTCCGTCGATTTGGCAATCATCTAACGGTCGTGATCATCGACCCGGTACTCTTAACCCTTCTTGGCCTCACGCCGCCTTTTCACCTCCTCCTAATCTTTCCCCCAATTTGCTAGGGTTTCCTCAGTTTACGCCTAACCCTTTTCCTCTGAACCAATTCGACGGCAACCAGAGACTATCTCCGGAAGATGCTTACAGATTAGGGTTTCCTGCTACTGGAACTCACGCAATTCAGTCCATGGTACAGCAGCAGCAGCCACCGCCGCCGCCGCAGTCTGATTACAGGAAGCTTGTTTTTGGCTCTTTCTCGGGGGATGCTACTCAAAGCCTTAATGGGTTACGTAATGGGAACTTGAAGTATGATTCTATTCACCAGGAACAGCTTATGAGGAATCCCCAATCTGTTGTCTTGAATTCTAACCCGGAGGATCCAAACTTGTCTCATCATCGGAATCACGATCTCCATGAACAAAGAGGAGGCCACAACGGAAGAGGAGGAAACTGGGGTCCTATTGGGAATAACGTCAGGGGTTTCAAGTCTACTCCTACTCCTCCTCCTCCTGGATTTTCAAGTAACCAAAGAGGCTGGGATATGAATTTAGGAAGTAAGGATGATGATAGAGGGATTGGTAGTTTCCAGAGGAATCATGATCGAGCAATGTGGGAGCATTCTAATTTAAATGCTGAGGCTGATAGATTAAGGGGATTATCTCTTCAGAATGAGAGCAAGTTCAATCTTAGTCAACAAATAGATCATCCTGGACCACCTAAGGGTACAAGTCTCCACTCTGTATCAACAGCTGATGCTGCAAATTCCTTTTCGATGTTGAACAAGGAAGCTCGTGGTGGAAGTGAACGTAAAGATGAACTGGGGCAGCTCAGTAAGATGAAGAGGGAAGGCAATGAAAAATCTGGCCCTGGTGATGACGAGATTGACGATTTTGGAGAAGATATTGTTGACTCTTTATTGCTTGAAGTTGATACCGACGACAAGGACGCCAAAGATGGGAAGAAGAATAGCAAGACTTCTCGCGAGAAGGTACGTTTCAGTTTTTGCTTAGGCTTATGATATGTAGCTAAAGTCAACAGTTTTTATATACTAGTAATGACTTGTTGGGAACATTCAGTGATGGTGTTTAGCTTGTGTAATCTATCTATTCTGGAACCAGAAAGGATGCTTTATTTAGGTTGGGAAGATTATTTAAATTGGGGTTTGGTTATCAGGAATCGAGAGTGGACAATCGGGGTCGGTGGCTGCTTTCCCAAAGGTTAAGAGAGAGAAAAATGTATATGGCATGTCGAAATGACATCCACAGGTATGACGCTCCTTTCATGGCAGTGTACAAGTCCCTGATTCCTGCAGAAGAGGAGCTGGAAAAGCAGAGACAACTAATGGCACAGCTAGAGAATTTAGTTGCCAAAGAATGGCCTCATGCAAAATTGTATCTTTACGGGTCATGTGCTAACTCTTTTGGTTTTCCAAAGAGCGACATTGATGTTTGCCTTGCAATCGAAGATGATGATATCAACAAATCTGACATGTTGTTAAAGCTGGCGGATATTTTGGAATCAGATAATCTCCAAAATGTGCAGGTAAAATGAAAGCTTTTTACTCATGTAAACATATTGATTAGGTATTAATTCACCTTTTTGGCTTGTGAATCTGGTGCCTGTATTTATGAAACATGTATTTTGTGTAGGCACTAACAAGAGCTAGGGTTCCAATAGTAAAACTTATGGATCCGGTTACCGGGATATCTTGTGATATCTGCATCAACAATGTGTTGGCTGTTGTAAACACAAAGCTCCTGCGAGATTATGCACGGATAGATGTGCGTTTAAGGCAGTTGGCGTTCATTGTGAAACATTGGGCAAAGTCGAGAAAGGTTAATGAAACTTATCAAGGAACACTCTCCAGCTATGCGTAAGTTAGCATAAATTTAAATGAAGTTAGTTCAGTTTCATAAAACACACTTGCAGGTGATAACTTTTAATTCGTAACCTTTGCAGGTACGTTCTGATGTGTATCCATTTCTTGCAACTGCGTAGACCGCCAATTCTTCCTTGCTTACAGGTGTGTGTAGGAATACCATCTTTTTATGTAATGTAGTGAATTTTCTTCTTTTATTTAAACTATTACTTGTGCAGGAAATGAAGCCTACATACTCAGTTCGGGTAGATAATATCCGGTGTTCATACTTTGATGATGTTGGTAGACTCGATAACTTTGGATCAAGTAACAGGGAGACAATAGCTGAGCTGGTATGGGGATTCTTCAACTACTGGGCTTATGCTCACGACTATGCGAATACTGTTGTGTCAGTCCGCACCGGATCCATACTTGGGTAAAAATTGAAACTCAGGTATACCTACTGTAACATCTATGGTGCAACAATCTCAGATGAAATGAATGTGTGTTGCAGGAAACGAGAGAAGGACTGGACGAGAAGGGTGGGGAACGATAGGCATTTGATATGCATAGAGGATCCGTTTGAGACAAGCCATGATCTGGGCAGGGTCGTGGACAAGTTCAGTATCAGAGTGTTGAGGGAAGAGTTCGAACGAGCTGCAGAGATTATGCATCAAGATCGTAACCCATGTGCCAAGCTTTTCGAACCATATCTGCCTGAAGATAATAATGGACAAGGCCACAAGTAAAACCTTAAAAACATTGAATCGGATTCGGCTGGCTTTTATGTAAATATTAAGGCTCTGTTTTTTTTTTGGCTTGGTTACACTATTGTTGCTTTTATATGATGGTGATGGATGCATAAAACTTGCCTTTGTACTGAGTGACCAGAAAAATATAATTGAACAAATTTTGAAAAACCGTCACACCGCTAATAAAAAAATGTTGACGACGAGCTCATCCATGGAGGTTCTGCCACGTGTCCTCATCGTAAAACGTCCCGGCGCCATGGCTGTGTTGGAAGATAGCTTCGTTGCGTCCACCAAGTTTGAGATTCTGAAAACCTTCGAGTCTCCGCTTCCTCTTCCTGAATTCTTGGCCGATCAATCTCACTCCGTCTCAGCTGCCATAGCCCCTGTAGCTGCTCCCGTCACAGCCGATCTGATTCGTCTCCTCCCGAATCTTCGCTTGGTTGTAACTACCAGCGCCGGCGTTGACCACGTTGATCTGGTCGAGTGTCGCCGTCGAGGCATCTCCGTCGCCAACGCTGGCCCAAGCTTCTCCGAAGATGTCGTAGATAATGCCGTCGGGTTACTCATAGACGTTTTCCAGCGCATTTCCGCCGTTCGTTAAGCAACAGTTTTGGCCGGGATTATCCCCTCGGTTCCAAGGTTTACAAAACATAAATAATATGTCTTGACTTTTTCTAATATGCTAGTAATATTTATTTCCATCTGATGAATAATTTGTAGTTGGGGAGAAAGCGAATAGGAATCGTGGGACTTGGAAGCATTGGCTCGATGGTAGCTACAAGGCTCGACGAGGCCTTTGGTTGCCAAATTTCATACAGCTCAAGAAACAGAAAGCCATCTGTTCAGTATCATTATTACATGGACGTAGAGGAGATGACAGTGATGCACTCATAATCTGCTGTGAACTGAATGATGAGACAATGCATTTGATCAGTAGAGATGTTCTCTCAGCTCTGGGAAAGCAAGGCGTGATCGTTAACGTCGCTCACCATAATCGATGAGGAAGAAATGGGCTTGAGGGAAGGTGTGAGACTGGTGGTGCTGGTTTGGATGTTTTTGAAGATGAGCCTAATGTGCCTAAGGAGCTTTTTGAACTGGATACTCTCCCCATTGTGCTTTCATGACATTGGAAGGTTATATGGACCTCAAAGTTAATCTTTTGCTTCAACTAGCATTTTTTTGCTTCTCTTGATCTTTTGGTAATTTTTAGCTAATGTGTTTTTAGGATTTTGCAACGTTTGAGCGTACTGAATTTAAAGCATTGTATTTCTTTTTCTTATCACAACTATTCATCCGTTCGGCTTTGGATTCGATGAAATATGTTTTTGTAAGATGTCATTAGTTTTGTCTACTTGTTTATATCTTTAAAAGTTTCACAATGAAAATTATGTTGAGTATTCGGGATAAAATTAAAAGTTTCGAATATTATATTATTCAATCAGTTTCCTGATCCCTGATCCTAACCCAATCCGATACAAATAAAACTAAAAGCAATATGAGAAGCTTGACGTTAAGTACTGTGTGATTGTGAGAAATCGAATATTGTGAGTAAATCGAAAAAAATCGAAGACAAAATTGTGAGAAACAGAGGTAAAAATGCCCATTTGCCTTAACACTCCTCCATTCACTCACAATTCATCACATTCATCTATGCCATAACTATGCCATTCACACATCTATGCCTAACATTCATCTATAATCTATGCCCCTAACATTCATTTATAAATCTCTATGCCTAACATTCATCTATATACATAACATGCCTTAACACATTCATCTAGATCTATGCCCCTAAGCCCTAACATTCATCTATACATATATATATCCTAACATTCATCTATGCCTTTCACTCATCTATGCCTAAACATTCATCTATATATACACCCTTAACAAATTCATCTATATATAAGACCCCTAATTCATCTATAACATCTATGTGATATATGCCTAACATTCACCCCCTAATGTCTTTTATCAGGAAAGAAAATATAAATTATTATTGCTAACATGCTAGGTAACTTTTCAACAAAGCCCGGGGAAGAAGGCTTGATTACGAACGCCACACAGTCCCAGTCCCAACTCCCTACCAAGGATTTTTGGTTTCCCATGCTCTCTGCAAAATTAATTAACCAAAAAATCAATATACTACAATCGTTTTTTCATTTGTCAAAGAGGAATTTGGAGGACGAGAGAGTGAGGAGTAAAAAAACATTTTGTTAAAGTGAAAAATATCCGTCAAAAAAGTACATGCATATTTTACATAAACTTGAAAGCAATTTAGAAAGTCAAAACAAACTTTCATTCTTTCTAATAAAAAATAAAAATAAAAGACCTCATTCTATGTTATCTTAAGACACAATATCTAAACTAAAAATTCAAAGGGATAATAAAAAACAGTTATGTGAGAAAGAAATACGGCTAAGAAAGTTAATATATTAAAAAGAGTTTCAGTTCAGTGTTATGGCTAAAAAGTCATTTTATTGTCGACATCGTTAAGTTTTAGCCAGCATACATACAAAATAGATTTTAAAACAGAGCATTTATATTTTTAACATTCAACTCTATAAAGAATGATTAAAAGAGAAGAGCAGGAGCTAAACAGACTAAGAACCATTTTTAATTGCAAACAAGCTAGAGGAATAAGACCAAGAATATATTTATTACCTTGTAAGAAGAGATGATGATGCTTCAAATTTTGTTTTTCTCTCGGCTAACGATGCTTCATAGTTTGAGTGAAAGGAGGACTCAAGTGGAAGAACAGAAGAAGTGAAAGAGAGAAGAGATAAAAACAAAAAAAATGGATTGTAATAATATATGACACCAAAGTAAAGAGGATTCGGATTTCTTCTAAGTTCTAACGCAAAGGAAGGAGTAAGTATGCATATATATAGACAGTCATTATTTTAAGTTTGTAATTAAAAATACTAAATATTCAAACGGTAAAAGAAAATGTTACCGTTCCCCAACGTTCATATTCTTCTGCTCTCATGTCAAATCAGACGGACCGTTGGAACACAATACGGGGAAGCGTAAACGTACTCTCTCCTCAATTCTCATCATTCAATTTTTTTTTCTTAAAATATAATCCAATCAAATATATTCTTTAAGAATATTTCAGATGCATTGCTTTATCATCGCTCTCTGACTCTTCTTGTCTATGCTTAGTGTTGTTTGAATCCCTCTTTTTTTTTTCTTTTTTTTCTTTTTTTTCCTCCGATGTTTAATACGAGTATTTACTTCTACAACGTTCGGATGAAATCTTAATTTTAAAATTTTTTGTATATAAAGAGGCTAATAGTTTTCCATCTTTTTTATTTCTGCTTCTTTAGGAGAGAAAAAACCATAAACAAAAACGATAGGCATATATCATACTAAAATCATTAGACATATCATTAGTGCACAGACCAGATCCAAAAATACATAACATGTCTAAACGAAGTTTGAGATGGTACAACCATGGAATGTGTGTTCTTCCCTCTAAATCCCACTAAAGGAGAGACATAAAACCTCCTAGTAAATTGCCACATCCAGATAATCTCCAATCTGCAAATATAGATTGATCAACTGCGGTTATAATTGGGCAAAAATAAGGTTTATCTACTACATCTCATCCACAAGATGTGATCTTCTGTGTATTTAACTTACCTCAAACCTAAGTTCGGAAAGCGTTTTGCTGTCATCTGGTTGTTTCCGGTTTGGATAAGACATTGTCTGCCCAACCTGTATTAACAGAAAACAACCACAAGATAAGTCTCTTCTTATATGTAAACATCACTGAGAACAAAAGTTAAGCCATAACAATTGAATCTGTAAGCACCCATTCATTCAAATTTATACATTCTTAATGCCTATATATAATGATGTGGTCTCTCAAGTTTCAAAAATAAGTAAGCATGAGAAGATCAATCGTCAATGCATAACATGCTTTTAGTATAACAAAAGACATGTTCAAGATATTATAGAAACATTGTTGATAATAAACTCTGAATGATTTGGTAGGTAAAATGTGAGAGTAGGAGGTGTGGCAGGACAACACAGATATTCTAGAATGCATTAACGATTATATATGTGTGTGGCTATCATTACATCTCATCAAGAAAGATTGTGAAGAGAAGTAATCTTATTACCTCTTTCACGATAAAGCGACCGTGCGAGTCAGGATAAACAAACGCAAAAGACAATCTTGCATTCCTTCTCCTAGCTGCTACGGAAACTTCTTTCACCTGCAAAGAGAAACAATCCCCCAAAAATGTGAATTTTTAATCAACACTCAACAGAAAAACAAAGTGAGACCTGAAGCTGACATCTCTCATATTCAAAAAGAAAATTACAATACAAAAGTTCTCTAAGAAAGCTGATATTCTAGTTGTCTCGAGCACCTAATCTAAATCTTAAAGGCAAAGACATACCAAATCTGTTAACTCACGAAGAGTGGCATCTTTCCATGTGTAGATTTGAACTTCATCTTTTGGTTCTTTGCCTCTCACAGCATAATCTTCCTGACTATGATGACCACCTGTCTGCAATCAAACCTCCCAATTAATCTTAATTTTGTAGTCTAATTCAGAGAGCAAACATAGCAGATTCTCAAGTGATTAAGCTTGCAATTATTCGTGAAATCAAAAGAACAAAGAGTGACGAAACGAACCTTGGTGAAAACACGAAGAAGCAGGGGACATGTCTGCGATTCCAAGGTTAAAGAAATCAGTGAGTGGAGATTAAAAAAACCCTAAAAAAGAAAACCCTAGAAGATGTTTGTTTCAACAAAATCGCGAATATGAAATCGAATTCAAACCTTTTCACGATCGACAGGTTCAGGTTTAGGGCGAGGAGGTTGGTTAACGCCTCTCGGAGGTGGCGGTAATGGTCTCCCTCCGCCTTGTCTTCTCGCTGTTTCAGCCATCTCTCTCTCTATCTCTCTCTCGGAAAATCTGAACGATGAAGAAGGTACTCTAATGTCAGAGATTTTGATCGGACTGTTTTAGGCCCACAGTTATTATACCCTAATGGGTCTGTTGTACAAATATTTGGGCCTTACTCTTTTCTACACATTTTGTCGTTAATGGCCCTTTTATGTGTAAAATGATTAAAAAGTGTAATAAATTGTATTTTTATTTATATACCACCGTTAAGGCCCAATTAAGGAAAATGGGCCTTAATGCTACACATTTATCTTTTTGCTAAGCTTGGAAAACACATATTTGAATATCATTGAGTCAAAAAATCAAAATATAAATAAAGAAGAGAAAATACCGTATATATATAGCAAATAAATCCATATTCAATGCATAATAAGTGACTTCAAGTAGTGAACAACTAGGATCCCACTAAAAAAAAAAAGAAAAAAGAAAAAACCATATGATGTTCTTTAGCCTATTCCTTTTGCACCATTCTCGTTATAGTAAAATGGTAAAAGAAAAGTAAAAGAAGAAGAAGAAGAGAGAAAAACGAAAAGAAAGAAAAAAAGAAGAAAATGGGGTCATTGAATGGTGAAAGAGAGAGAGGAGGGAGGGTTAACATTTTTTCAGACGATAAGGAGAAAGGACCCTACACCCCTCACATGAAGCTGCAGTGTCATTTCCAAAAAAAGAGTGTGAGGGGTCGTAATTTGAACGAAGAGAAATTAAAGAAAAAAAGGATCATAAAAAGGAAACATTACTATAAAGTGAAAAGTATGAAATTTATGAAGACTACCCGATCTTCTTTGCTTCCCTTTCCGTATTTGGCATGCCCCTAACCACCACCACCACCTCTTCCTCCGCATCTTTGTTTATACCAACAACTTAACAACTGATAGACATTTATATTTACACATGGCTTTGTGTGTTTTTTTAAAAGGGAAATACTAAATAGTGTACTAGTACCATATAATCTTGTCCACCATGTTCAATGGAACTCGACCAAACATAAAAGGGTTTTATGTCATCAACACGTACGACTTTTTCTTCTTTTCTTTTCTTTGGATTGGACACGACGAGAATGGGGTTTGGTCAGTGTCCGATCTACTTCTTCATTTTTCTCCTTCTTTGTATTTAGTCTCGTGTTTTTCTTTCTGCACATGTACTAGAGATAATTACAACTCTTAACTGGAAATACATTAAGCTTTCTTATACATGTATTATCAATTTAATTATCTGATTGCAATTTATGAGATATAATTAATGATCATTTTTTTTTTTTTGTTCCATAATGCGGCAATTCTCTGTTTGTTTTGTAAACTTATTTGTTGTTTCCCTAGCCAAAGGGATAATAACTAAACGCTGGTTATAAAATAGTTACGTTTTTACTTATCGAAAGCACATAAAATATGACATATGAAAAACTATTCATTGGTTTTTAAGGTTTAAAATATATGTTAAAACCAACGATACTGATATATTAAACATGTGGTGATGATGAGGTTTGAATTTTATTTTATGTCCTTAAGAGACCACAAGACATTGACACGCCGACTGATTGATTAAAAAAAAAACGTAAGGCCTACAATACAAAAGCGAGAATGCATATTACATATGTATGATTCATGCATGTGATATATAATTCATTCCATTGAGCTTCTATGTCTCATTAGCCGAAAATTAAAATTGACGTTTTTAACCGAGGCGAAGTGGTAGAAACTAAGAGAAGTGTCAGTTCTCTAACTTATTAGGTACCGTTTCGATGAATAACGCTATAGAGAGCCGTCATGATATCGCAAAGTGGGAAAAAAAAAAACATCAATAACTTGATTAAAAATAATCCTTTGAGATATTCGTATGAGTAATAAACTATTATACTATATACATAGGAAAAATATCTCAACCTTCAAATCATTTTCAAGGGTAAAACACAACATGTATGAAAACCAGCTAAGCTCTGCGAGAGAGTGAGAGCAATTCAAAACCAATGATGAAATTTTCTTCCACTTCTTTGACCGATTAAAAGTTCCAAAACTAGTAAAAACAAGCCAGCATTAATTTCGCACACGTAATTAATTTCCTCCGATGTTAGGTCAAGTAGACATTTTAATCAAAAACATCTTATTTGAATCACGGTTTATGCAATAACCAAAATATATATATACTTGCTTATATAGATCATAGATCAATGCTTCACCTCATTCACTAGAAAACCAATTCTGTCTGTTATTTTGTAACAATATATAGATGAATATAGACTATATAGTGATCATTATATTGTTAACAACAACAAAAAAATATACAATAAGTAGATGAACGTGAGTCACAACATTTGGAAAAAAATGAAATACTTTGAATTTTGAATATCGAGCTCTTGGAAAGGAAGAGAAAATAATAGAAATTTTCAATGGTCCGACTGCTACAAGTAAACTTCCATTCTTAGGAATCTAGCTATAACGATGAAGACAGAGTTATCATTTTGTTCCATCAAATATTGACGCCATTTATTTTTTTTCTCCAACAAAAAAATATCTCATTTTTGTTAGTGTCACATACATATTTATGACGGATAATAATTAAATTATAAGGAAATATTTAAATATCCACCATATTACTAACCTACCAATAGCAATATACATTAAAAAAAAAAAGAGTTTTGTAGTATATATAAAGAAACACATTATCGTGTACGATATTAATAATATTCCTTTGACGATCTACACTTTTAAAAGCTACCAATTCTTGAGAAAAAGAAATCAGAATCAAGAAAAGGAGAGAGAGATGGGAAGAGGGAGAGTGGAAATGAAGAGGATAGAGAACAAGATCAATAGACAAGTGACCTTCTCAAAAAGAAGGAACGGTTTGCTGAAGAAAGCTTATGAGCTTTCTGTTCTCTGTGATGCTGAAGTTGCTCTCATCATCTTCTCAAGCCGTGGCAAGCTCTACGAGTTCGGTAGTCTTGGGTATCTTTTGCTCCTCCCACGAACCATCTTTTTATTCATTCAATAAAGTTAGTTAGTATTTTTTTTTTTTTAATATTGAAAATTGATTAAGTGAGTTCTTTTATTGTTGGTTACTTGGTTATATCTTACGATTCAAGAGTCGAATCATGTTTTTGTCTCGTGTGTATTCTTTACGGTTGTGTCTTTTATCCTGTGGTAATTAGGGTTCATCGTTAGATATCACCTCTCTCTCTCTCTCTCTCTTGGCTCCTTTATCATAAGTTTATGGATCCGTCCGTACGTTATACTTTGTTGATTGAATTCCTTTGATTCTTAAATGTTAAAGATGTCAGATTTCAAATGATTTTTTCTTTTTCTTTTTGTTTTAAACAAACCTAGGTTTTCCCTTTTAGACCCAGTGTGTAAGATCTAGCTAGAGTTCTTTTCTTGTCCTAAGAAGAATCTTTGTCAAGAACAATGGTCTCTAATTTTAAATATATATTTGTTCAATTGAATTTGTAGAATTTCAAGAACAATCGAACGGTATAATCGTTGTTACAACTGTTCTCTGGGAAATAATAAGCCTGAAGAGACTACACAGGCAAGTGTGTACATGTACTTTGATTTTTGCAATAAATGTTTCTAAATCTCTTTCTTCACATTCTTCTCGTTTACTCTGTATATGCATTTTCATTATCTATAATCTATATGGTGCAGAGTTGGTGTCAGGAGGTGACGAAGCTTAAATCCAAATACGAATCTCTTGTTCGCACTAATAGGTTTAGTGATATTTAGTTTTCTAGTCCCTTGAAATTATTAGATCGTTATTATCATCATATCTTCCAATGTGCGAATCTTATATAGTTAATTATATATACGCATGTTGATTGCTAAAGGAATTTGCTTGGAGAAGATCTTGGAGAAATGGGTGTGAAGGAACTGCAAGCGCTCGAGAGGCAACTCGAAGCTGCTCTTACCGCTACTCGACAGCGGAAGGTCGCATCATCTAGACTGGTTTCTTGTTTCATTGCGAATATATCATATATGATTATTATATATTGGAAAAAATCTCATATCATCTTACCTTTCAACTAACATAATGCAGACACAAGTTATGATGGAAGAAATGGAAGATCTTAGGAAAAAGGTAAAGTAATATCTAATATATTAATGTTCCATATATACGAAATTGATAAACATGTATATGCATATGATCAGTTGATCTATTTTTAAAATGGCAGGAGAGACAACTAGGAGACATAAACAAACAACTCAAGATTAAGGTTTGATTCTAGATCACAAAAATACTAATTCCTGCATGCAAGTAGATGTATATATGGTTTGGTTTTTAAGACTAAATTAATTTGCAATAGTTTGAGAGCGAAGGCTATGCTTTCAAAACGTTTCAAGAATTATGGGCAAACTCGGGTGCATCGGTGGGGGCTGTTCCTAACAATTCCGAATTCCCGGTTGAGACATCTCATCCAAATTCAATGGATTGCAACACCGAACCCTTTTTACAAATAGGGTAACAATTTCATCATTTTATCGTTTCTTGTGGAAGTGAAATGATTGAATAGAAATTATATTTTTATTTACAAGACTAGTTTGGTATATATGTGGATTAGGTTTCAACAACATTACTACGTGCAAGGTGAAGGGTCTTCGGTAACAAAGAGCAATGTGGCAAGTGAGACCAATCTCGTCCAAGGATGGGTTCTTTGAGTCTCAGTTGACTAGACCATGATGCCACGCCCCACGCTCAGGCCAATATATTTCAGCTCTGCAGTTGTTTTTTATACAATTTTCTTATTAAAAACAAAAAACAAACTTATGTATGTTTACTAAATTGTTTCATTTAATTTCCAGCAGTCATTTGAATCTATTTACATGTAGTAGGGGTTTAAAAAAAAAAGAATGACATTTATCCTTCAATTATCGTCGTCACTTGATCTAAAACATGGACATTCCAAATGAACTGAACACTAATAAATAAAATATTTTCAAAAAATAAATAAAATGAGGTCGGAAACAGTGAAATGTACTCAAAGTTGTAACTAAAAAAGAACGAATGAGAAAATGGCACGTAGGCGCCTTGGAAAAGGTGCAATGATGCCTTAGTAGGATCCCACATATAGCTGTTAGCTTGATTTGACTTTCAGAAAAGAGAGCTCCTCTTGTTTTGGCAAACCTTCCTCTGTTCCAAAATGTCTTCCCTTTTTCTTTATAAACCAAATCTTACAAGTTAATATCTAATCCCCAATTTTTTATTAGTACCGTTTAATGGGCTGTTATCACAAAGTAAGCCTTTTTATAAGTGGGCCAGTACAGAATATATATTATTAATAGGCCCTTATCTATGTTGTAGGCAAACATGCTATCATTATCCATCATGTGGGGATTGTGGGTAACTTAGCTAGATTTGATCCATTCTTATGCTGTAGTTTGATTAGGGCAAAGGGTTTTCATTTTTCATTTCTTTTTTGTTTGTTACATATTCAACTGAGGAAATAGTTCATATATGATTAAATTGTCTAGATGAATATGGCTTAGTCTTTGCATTGTCATCAGACTATGGGACTTTGCTTGTTTATGTAGAGTATTCTTCACTTTATGAGACTGGTACGAGCAATCATCAAGCCAATTCTTGGTCCACGAAGCTCCTAGCTTAAATTGTATGTTTTATTCTTTAAGTAGCATATTTTTGGTAGTTAATTAGCAACAAACATTTTTAATATAAATGCTTTTGTTTATTTTTTTTTATTATAAGAAAAACGTTATCCCATGATTCCCATGTTTAAGCAAATAAACGAGAAAGATTACTTTGAGAAAAAGAACTTCTAAAATTTTGATCGAATGCATGATGAGATATATACTGAACTTTTTTTTATATGAACTGACGAACTTTTCTCTTAAGTGAATTAGGTTTCTTTCTTTTTTTTTTTTTTTTTTACTTTTACCGGTTTTGGAATGTTCTAGTCTCGACTTGATAGCTCTCTATTATGATCAGTCAATCTGTTGTGGAACACCTTGACTTGAATATTTGAACAAGTCGTGTACTATTTCACCACGTTTCATAACTTTCAACCAATAAGTTGATACATAAAAACAAAAAACATAACCAAAATTAGATTCTTCAGATGAGGCAAGTGTAATTCAGAACATAGATACATAACACAAGCACTTCAGTTTTTGGCAGAACATCATTAAAGAAGAGAGTGAGAAAGAGTGAGAGTGAAATAAGACAACAAGAGAAGCAGCTTTAGTGTTTTTTTTTTTTTTTTTTGGTTACCTGTCCTTATACACTCTCAGTACTGCTAAACCTGTTTTAACTTACTTTTGTTTGTGGAGTGGATCACTTTCTTGAAGAGCAAGGTAACCCAATGAACAGTTGCGTCTCGACTTCAGAACTTGGGCTGCTCTCTTCATCACCTCTTCCACTTTCTTGATTCTTATTCGACCAAACTTCAGATTCATGAGATCCCCACTGCAGTAGAACAATACATATATAGAATGAAAAGGTCATCAAGGTGATTGAAGATAACCAATAAGAACTAAGTGCTCTCCAAACCTAATAACCCCCAAAAGAAAATTAAACTATCTTATCTTAACCCAATTTTTAAAAGTAAACATTTGCAACCCTAACATGAGACCCTTAAGAATATATTATACCTTTTCATTGAGCTTCTCGTTTTCTGCAGCTAGCGCTTTCTCCTGCAAAAGTTTTTTTTATTCCATTATTGTTAAAGCAAGCACAAGATATTTATTTTTAGTTGGAATATTCCACCATTTGTATATATACATATATCTATAAGCTCATAGAAACTACTTTACCTTTTGCTTGAGCTGCTCAATTTGTTCCTTAAACACTTGAGTCTAATTGAGATCATGATAAGTAAGTTAGAATGATGAGTGGTTATATATACAAGATAATTCGAAGAATTATATGTGGAGACATGTATATACCTTTCTAGCTCGAATACATTTGACACTTTTCTCAAGCTGTTGCTCAATCTGTTGCAGCTCCTCGATCGAGCATGATCCGATGCCTTCTCCCAAGAGTTTACTGATAACAAAAATAAAACACTTATATGATCTAATTAGATGATATATACAAATTAGTAATGTGTCTGTGTTAGTATATATGTACATATATCACAAACCGTTTAGAGGCTTCGAGTTGTTCAATTTTCTTCATCATGTTTGCTGCTTCATATTTCAAATGCTGTTGGTATATCACAAACATGTTATTGCATGTAAAACATCATAATATGTAGGTGACTTTGATCCTGTGACCTTGAGATTATATACAGATTATGTGGTTTCTATTCCTTAACCCTCTTTATATAGTATAGAAAAAAAAGTATATTAGCAAGACTTGATATATAGGCAAGGTCACAAAGAATTAACCTGCATATTTTCTTCAGAAACCGGTTTTGTGCTGACTCGATCCTTAGTATGCCTCAGATAACGTTCTATGGTATCTTGCATACTACATCATCAGAGAGAATAAATTAGTACAATGTAAGAAGATACCATACTACATCATCAGAGAGATTAAATTAGTACAATGTAAGAAATTAAAGCAACCCTCACAAAACATTATAAAAATAAAAGTCTTAATCGAAGTAATCACAGGACGTATAAGGACATAACTAAATGGAACTCATAACTTGAAAAGTCTTGTACTTTTTTTGGTTGTTATATGTTTCCCTCCATTTTAGACAACCAAAAACATGTGAGCTCTTAACTTTATATTTTGTAGGTTCGAGAGAAAGAAGTACTTTTCCCAAATGGACAAATCGTCTGAAACATCTGATCAAAAGCTGGCATTTTCCATTTACAGAAGTAATGATTCAACAAAAGCAAGTTTAGTTTCCCTTCTACCAAACAGTACAAGATGATAAAAGTCTTTCCTCATTTTCAAACATTCAATATATTTTGGGTTTTGTTCTATGTCAAAATCAGGTAAACAGAAGATGCAAACCAATTGCACTACTTTAGGAATTAGGAATGAGCATGAAATGAAGCACATGAATGATTTATCTACTAGAATAGATGGGACTACTTCCTTATCGTCGCCACATAGAGAAACCAGTTATGCTAAAAGCAACAGCAAGACAAAGCTTAATGTAACCAAACTGTGTATCATCCACCCAAAGATTACTAATTGAATCACATATCGAAACCCAAGAAGGGAAATAAAATCAAGGACATTGTACGTATGTGCAGCATGATGCAAATAGCTTTCCAGAGAGTTCTTTGGCACATTTATTTATAACTTTTTAATGATAACTTGCATAAACTAAATGTACTAGTGAAAAAACAAGCAAAATAAGAGTATGTACTTGATACTACTTTAATAATAGCCCTAATATTGTAGAAACCGAGAAACTCATTTTAACATCATCTCAAAGCAAACGTCAATTTAGATCTGTGATTCCACAAACAGCCAGCAAATCCATATATATGTAAGTAAACAAGGATATATAAAAAAAAAAAAGATTAAGATAAAAATAGAAAGGTTAATATGAGATCACACACAGAAACACACCTTCTCTCTCTCTCTCTCTCACACTCTCAGGAAGATTTATAAATAAAAATAAGGAACGTACTTGGAGCTGGCGAATTCATAAAGTTTGCCTTTGGGAGAGAAGATGATAAGAGAGACTTCAGCATCACAAAGCACAGAGAGCTCAAAGGCTTTCTTCAGCAAACCATTCCTTCGTTTAGAGAAAGTCACTTGTCTGCTTGTTGCATTCTCTATTCTCTTCATCTGAGTTTTTCCCCTCACCATATCTCTTTATCACTTCTTTGTTCAATTTACCTTTCACATTTAAAAAAGAAAAAAAAATTAATTTGTATAAAAAAAAAAAAAAGAAACTGGAGATCAATGGTGCAACCACCTGAGTAAGAAGATTAGTCATACACAGTTCATATATATGAATATAGCTAGGAGGAGGTGATCGAAATAAAGACTTTGTTTTATGTTTTTTGTTTCCTGATGAGAGGAGAGGAGGACTGATACGAAGTCAACGAAAGATGATGAGTACACAAAAAGCAAAACAATCTAAAGTAGTAGTAGTTGATCTATAAGTCTTGTGACATGGATTGCTTCAAAATAAAATGAAAGATGGAAATATTTGTTGGATTTAATTTGGAAAAGATGCAACTTCCTTTCATGAGATTTAGGAGAAAGGAAAACAAAACAAAAACATCAAATCAAACAGAAAGGAACCAAACCCCAATCAAATGTTTTAGATCCATCAGATAAATTAAAGGAAGGGTACTACAAAAGCCAAAAACAACAATAAAAGGAAGAGAGATCTTACCGATTGGCTAAAAGGGTTTTTAATGAAAACCTAACCAGCTGGAGAGAAGAGGTATGTGTGTATGGGCAGAGAGATATATAAAAATGGAGGGCGATGAGAGAAAAAAGAAGAAGAAGGAAGGAAGAAGATGATCAAACTTGATTCTCTAGGAAAGGAAGGACCTTTTTATGGAAGTAGCAGCAAAAGAAGTAGCTTTCCTCGTTTCATCTATTTGTGTGTCTGTGTAATAAAAGAAACAAAAGACAAAAGAAACTCACACACACTCTCTCTTCTCTTCTCTCTTCTCTTCTCTCTCTCTCTCTGCTTTCTCCTTAAAAAAAAAGATCCTCTTCTCGTTGTTGTAGTTATGGTAATGGTGTTGTGCGAATTATGTTTTATTTCTCTTTAATTTGCAGAAAGAATTAGAAAACAATTAAATAATATATATATTGAAAAAAAGAAAAGAGAGAAAAGTAGGAAGGAGTAACATAATAACAAAATAGTCAGTCATATGTGTCGAAAATATGATGGACGCTTGAAACCTCATCCTTTACTTATTTTGGAAAAAAAAGGCTTATGATAGACCAAAAATAGCATATTTTGTTACATATGCCAATATTTACACACACTTCTTTTTCCTTCTATAAATATCTTTCTTCGATAGAATTGGCTGTCAATTATATTTTCTTTTATTAAAATTTTTAAATATCTTTTGATTTAAAATGTGGACACAAATACTCTCTCGTACCTATATGCCCCCACTTGTGTAATTGATACGAAAATACAGTCTAACTTAACGGGGCATTATTAGTAATTGCGTACGTATTCGCAGTTAAAAGTATGTTAGTGGCAAATATCTATATCTACCACTTTTTTTGTTGTTGTTAACCTTCGAATTTCAAATTCTTTCGTCTCTTTATTATATTTAGTTTTAATCAGCTTTTTTAATTCACACTTTTGGCGCACAAATCGTATATTAATTATAGCTTCTAAATGCTATCAAAAATTTTCAAATCTTTAGTCTATAATATTTTGAAGTCCCAAATCAGCTGTTAATATTCATACACTACAAATGATCTCTCTTCGTAATTATGTAGTTAAATAGGCTTGGTATTATTTCAACAAATCACATTACAAACCAATCAAATATTTGGAGTTAAAGAGAGAGAGAGAGAGAGAGTGTGTGCGGGTGGTTAATTATATATGGAGTTGAGTAGCGATGTGTCTAAATTAAAGAGGAACTTGCCAATTTTGGTCGCTGAGATAATATAAAACTTTTTCTATAGAGATTAAAAGAAAACGTAACTTTGAAATCCAATTATAACAGTTCAGATTATCGAACGTCTTGTCTACCTTAATTAGTGCCTAGTGGCACCATAAAAAAAAAAAAAAAAATCCTTTTTTGCGGAGATAAAATGGTTAATCGTTTTTTTATAATCTATTTAGGGGAGGACCACGCAAAAACTTACTTACTTGGAAAAAAAATAAACATCATCTCACTCACTCTCTCGGTGGTGACTTTATATATTAAATATCACCGACCGACAGGTCTGAAATTATATTTGTGGATACATATTTTTGGAGTGAATTGTTGTACTATCTTTATATATGCTATAATATCTTGTAGGATGTCAAAAAAAAAAAAAAAAACAACTATATCTTGTATTCGTATAACTAAGTTTTACACATGTGTAACCCTACGTTTAATTTGGTTAGGATTTATCTTTCAAACCTTTTTTTTTATAAAAGATTTATAGGAACGTTATCGTTTCTTGTTTCTGTTAACATATTATCGTTACGAATAGTAGTAAATATATAATGACTCACACTTCTAATTGGTGTAGATAAATCCAGAAGAATTATGCAATATATTGTATCTCTCTGAACTGATCAACCAATATTCAAAGTGCTGTTCGTTCCTAAATGTTTTAAAAAGATTGTGTTAGCTCGAGTAGTAAATTATATATATGTCTCATTCAATGGTGAGATAGGACCGGACCATGCTTCAAAGTTTTTCTACGCGATTTGCAGTTTAACCACTACAAATATTTTGTTCACATGTTCGTTCACACAAAACAATTATGATGAGGTATGTAATATGTTTTCTAGCTAGCTAGTGATCTTAGACCAGAAATTGAAACATTGCTAAAAGTTTGGTATGCGTTTAGTCACGAGTTTCTTGGTTGGCCATTACACTAGTATGTTTTATAAGGCATGAAACGAAATTTGCATTTACAGGATGTGGTTAGCAACTTCAAAAAATTGGTGATCCGGTTATATATAATAAGTTTACAAGTCATAAGTCCATGCATGCAAGATCATAGTTTTAGAAAGCCTCTTTGTATTACATCAAATTAGTTTTTTTTTTTTTTGGATTAGCAAGAAGAAATATTAGAGAGATGATAATATTACTAAGGGGGGGGGGGAGAAAGAAAGGAGAGAGAGAGAAGGGGGGGTACAAAATTAGAAATACATCAACATCGTCCGTACAGTCACGTACAAACGTTAGCCAATGATAATTCGAAAACACACACCTCCTACTTTTTCTCATCAATCGAAATATCCCAATGACTAATTATTATACTATATTTATTTTATAATTTTTTAATAAAATATATATTAAATTCGCATAAGATATAGAATAGATAATTCGTGCTCCACACTTTGGTCCTCTCATATGGGACCCTTCCTCCCAAAAAATAACAAAAAATAAAATAAAATAAAAATCCATTATATATATCTTTTTCCAAATTTCTATAATAAAATTAATTAGCAACTATATCTAAATGGACCTACTCTTCTTCTTACCTCTTTTAACCTCTTTACTTCCTCTTTTAGGTTAACTCTATCTTTCGCTCTTTTTGTTTTCATTTTCCATTTCTGTATATATTCATACATTTCTTTTAGTTTTTTATGATTTACTAATAGAAATAATACATATCAAAACTAGTGTTGCACCCCTATTAATTTGAAACAGTGTCATTTGTCTAAGGCATAGTATCGTTATTTTTGTTGTAGATATAACTATTTCAGAATCTACACGTTATTGATTCAAAACAAAAATCTACACATATAGAAAAAACATGTTTGTAAATTTGTGAAGGCACCTAAGAAAAGGACGACAAATTCCTTTGTTGTCCACAAATAATATAAAACCTACTTCTTCTTTTTTTCTTTTTCTTTTTTTTTTTTTTCATTATACGTACTGTGTGTCTGTGTGTGTGTTTCTAACAATTTTAGGATCATTTTTATTGGTTTCTATTCTTATATGTTTGGTGGAAGTTTGAAGCTTCTATTATTAATTTTCTGTGCACTTCATGCATATCATCACTACGTTACGTTGTGACTTGTTTGGTCTCTCTATTCCATTTTTTAATTTCTTCGAATCTTATGAAATCAGTATTCCTAAATGCGTTTTTCTCGCCTTATCAATAAATTTTGTTTCCATGCGATAAGGTCATAATTTGGTAGCTGAAAAAAAAAGTCACTTAAAAACAGTGTTAATCCAATAAAGCAGTTGATCTGTTATAATAAGTTAGTTACGAATATATGTGAAAAAGAGAAAGAAAAAAAAACGTGTAAGCCATTTTTGTTTTTTAGACCTCAAGCCATTTTTCTTAAACCATGAAGATGTAGCATGTATACGATATTGTTGACTAAAATGAAAAATATTATTCAATTTTTTTTTTGTAATCCTGTATAATTCTAGTTGATGGTGTAATTTTGTGAATATTATCAAAGCATGGTAGAGTTGATAATGATTTTTAAGTTATATAACAGAATCATATGGAGTAGTATCTTTTCTCATAAATGATGAATTATACTACTACTACAACTACTACTATCATAATAACCCTTATATAAGATAAATCATTTTTATCCACCGAACTAGAGAACAAAATTAAGAGATAGAGAAAAATCATTATTAGTTGGTTTAACTTTTCTTGCGTGATTTGGGGGAAACTATATGTCCAATAGCCTTCTCTCAATACACATTTTTGCTTGCACATGTATTAATATTAATTAGCATTTTTCATTGGAATCCACTTATATGTATATATATATATCTCTCTCTATTAATAATATTAGCCTAATTCATCAACAAAGCGTATAAACCGTGTATAATAGTAATATATGGTTAGTAGACAAGTTGAATAATAAACCTTGTTTTTATATACCTATATAATATACTTTTAAGTTTAAAGAAGATGATGAGGGAATTGTGATTAAATCGAAAAATGTCGGATAAAGAGGGTTAAGAAAATGAAGATAATTGGAGAGTGTGAAGGAGAGGATTTATGGATATGATGCCCATTGGGGAGAGAGAGTTGGCACTTCCCACTTCCCAGTTGAGGTACCGACACATGTCGGGCACATGGGTCCTTTTGTGACTTGTAAGAGAGAGAGATTCACGTCCTCTGTGCACGGGACCACAGAGCGTGCTGTGCACCGCCCTATGCTGCTCTCTCATCCGACGGTCTTTCTTTCATCCGCTTCATTTTCTCTCCTTCTTTCTTCCCTTTTTCTATTTTTTTTTTAATCCATTGATTTTTTATATATATATATCTATAAACTATGCTTGCGTCAGCTTTTTACCCCCACCTGGGCTTCTTTTTTAATATATATATTCTTGCACTACTACTATGCAAAGAGTATATAATTGCTCAGATGCCAACAATAAATTTGACCTATCAATATGGAATTTTTCTAATAAGAGTTAAGGTAAAAACAATAAAACAATAACACTGATACAATCGGAATTTGGATATTACATATGTGATTTGTAATGTAATGTAACCCCAAAATTGACAAAAAAACAAAAACAAAAACAATACAAAATACAGCAAAGTTTGCTCAGAACTAGAGGAGCAAACACCATAATGTTTTTTTTTTTTTTGGGTTGAAACGGCACGCGGTTATAGGATGGATCCATCTTGGAGAGGGCATAGGCCAAAAACTAAGCATCCCCTTCTTTTTTACTTATACCTGAACATATGAAGACAAAACAACGGTACTATAATATACCACAAAGACAAGTTTATATCATCATCATCATCGCACCCAACACAAAAAAATCTTCTCCACCACTTTGTCTCTTTTGTGTTACGTTTGAGCAAAGATTGCTATGAGAAGGGGGTTTCTTCTTAAACATGTCAACCAGTCATTTTGGCTGACTCTTTGATCTTGATCTTCGTCAAGCAAATTGTATATTCCTTGAATCTGAATCATGAGATTAACCAAACCCTTATTAGGCTATACATCTTTCCCAGAATAAGAGATTTGGGTTTTCATTCCGATAGATGAATCATGGATGGATCTAAATGCACTTACCTCGTCCTTGTTCAAG